CATACTTGTCATCCTGATAACTACTTAGATAACTTTTACTTTTTGATTCTTGGGTATACTAAATGGTTGGTTAATTTTTTGCACAATCCAAAGTGTTTTAATTGACAACCATATCCTCAAAATAGTCGCAGCTGAAGTATTGGATAAAGATATTGATGAATCATATATATTATCAATAATTTTAGCTGTGATAACCATTGGGCACGCGTTTTTATTAACCTTTCATGATTCGTGATAATCGACGTACGCGATTTTCCGAGTGAAACGTACCTAAATACAATTTTACTATGACCGAAATGATTGATTTAAAATAATTGAGAACCTTTAAACACACACCATTTATGATAGGTTTGACTCTTTGATTAATTAAAATGCAACTGAACCTTTTAAGCTGACTCACTATAAATGTTAACAGATGTGTTTTAAAAACATTGTAATGTAAACAAATCGAATATTCTTTTTCCTCGGAAACGCTTTGCCGGCCTCTCTCCCGCACTCTCCCGAACGAGCCCCGAACGCCTCAAACCCGTGCGGTAAAATCCCGGAAATGTCCGAAGTGGCTCGGATCCGTGGGAAACGAGTAGTAGACGGGATCAGAAAAAATTTGTATTATAACACCACCTCTCTGTAATCGTTTCTCATGAACTAAATTAGACGATGGATTTAATTGCTGCATAACGGCCATATTATTTTTTGTAAATTAAATCACACGCGTTGCGAAAGAAATTTATAAAACATGAGCTTTTTATTAGGCAAATGGAAAATTGCACAACGCAATTTAAATCGATATTTAATGAAGGCGAATATCCAGTTTTGTGTTATAACGTCGGACAAAAGAAAATATCGTGTGCTTTTGCGATTCGGGGCGATTTTGCGTTTAATTAAAACACGCAAAATTGCGCAAAAAGCTGCATGCGATGGCGCTGATTGGAGTTTTGTGCAACGGCTAGTATTTCTGCGGCAATGTAAAAGTTACATTGTAAGGCCGCAAATAAGGTCATAAAAAGCCGACACTTCGTACGGAAAATTCACCAGGACGACGAGAATTTCCTTTCGTAATCATGCTCTCGAAAGAGATTTTCGTATACGCTGGATTCTTCGAGCAGAAAGTAGGAAAAGAAACTTCTGAATTCAGAAGAAACTATGTCACCGGGTATAAATCGATAACTATTGACCAAAGGCCAACGACAAAAAGTTGAACAATGTGTTTATCCTTGTCTGTAAAATACGCGTCGATTAACAGCATATGACGTAACGATCGCCAGCAGGTTTTGGGAAACTACCGAATATATTAGATCGTTGGCAATGACCGTGAATCGAAGTACGGTATACCTGATTTAACGGCTGGAGGGTATTTTATTCATATTCCGGCAGATGACGACTATATTAATGTACATAGATATGTAAAGATTTCTGTTTGTGACAATTATTTTTGCCAATTTTTGGAAATTATTTAAGTATGTTTATAAATGGTGCGTATAGAAAATAAAGTCAAACGAAACCATACATGTGCATGTGTTTTAGAGAAAAATATTAAATACAAAAGTTATAGATGAAAAGAAACCATTTTATATTATTTTTGAACATACAGGGTGAATCACAAATGTGTGGGAAATAAAACTGTTAAATTGAGCACCCTGCATTTTATGGAATTATTAGGTACTCCCTTTAATATTCAATCATCCTATATAGCGTTGTAATGGTCCGGGTATTTTCGGATTTCTGATAAATTTTATAAATTATTAAAGTCATTTATCCAATACTTGTCTTCAAGTTAGTTCGAATCGTTTATCCAGGGTGAGTCAAAATGAAAAATAATAATTTTCCCGAAAAAATCAAATTGAACTTCCGGTCTATTATACTTCCATTAATTACTCCTATTAATGCTCTTTCAGTTTTATTAAGCAGAAATAACATTAAAAATCCAATATTAATATTGATAATAAATTCGAAAAAAAAAACAATTAAAAATTAAGAACAAAACTGCAATAGAAAAAACAAAAAACAATAATAATAATAATAATAATAATAATAATAACAATAAAAATATTAATAATAAGCATTTGCATTGCAAACTTACATTTGCGCTATCTGACGACATTATTTTATAGTTCAATAATATTTTTGCTTTTAAGAAAGGCAATATTTCTAAATTTATAATATTTTTTCACAAAGTTTAAAATTTATCTATTGATTTTTATGTTTCTTAGTTTATTACGATATTTTCTCATAATTTGACAAATTGTCGGAGTTTTGTTCGTAAAAAAGTTTAGGTATAAGCAATGCTTAATTAAATTGAAAGAGCAATAATCGCAGCGATTAATGGAAATATAATATTCATGGTGGTGCATATATAAACGATTCGAATTAAATGTAAGAGAATTCTAGGATAAATGACTATAGCACTTTATAAAATTGTTGGCATAATAAAATTACAGCTGTCAGGAATATAGTGCAATTTTGACGAAAAAATGGGCATAAATCCGGAAACACTCGGTATAGAACACACCAATGCTACATTGGGCGATAAAAGGCAGTATCTACTAATGCAGTAATACACAGGGTGTTTCATTTAAAAGTATGTAAGTTTGGTTTTCCTCATATTTAGTCTTTTAGTCTATAACAAATAATAAAAAAGATATATTGCTTATTTGGACACCCTGTATATACTTCTAACCATATTAGGGCAATGGCGGCATTCATTGCATAGACCGCACACTCTGATAATTCTACCTTATCAGTGAACGAAAAAGGGATTTAATATGGCTTCGTAAAAATGAAACTTGGAAATTCTTTTAATTTTGGTTAATCATTGTTTGAAATCTGGATGTATGTAATACCTGTAATACGTAGTTTTGAGAGCCCTATATTTATGGTACTGGAATAATCACTGGAATTGAAGGCTGAACTAGAATTTTTTTTTAATTGAATTTCGGCGTTTTTTTTGCTCGGTTATTGAATATAGATGCTGATTACGTTACTACTATAGTATTTAACAGCAAACAAACTCTAATAATTATTATTGTTATTTATATTATCTACAAATACGTTTTACTTGTTAAAATAAAATATCGTTTAATCCCATACGCACGCCTTTCTTGTGTTTATGGCCGTTATTTCTAAACGGATAACAATAGGAAAAGTACTAAATCAAAGTATTTGATAGAAAAGGACAAATTTCAATGGCAAGCTATTGAATTGGCACAGAATGTTGGTGGATAGTCTTGTTGTCCTTTGGCGTGTTATAACGATGTTTTGGTTAGTTTGTTAGCACCACTTAGAAATAGAATATGATTTTAGTGTATGAGGCGCTTAATGGCTATATTATTAAAGTTTTTCACAAAGTTACCCTTAGACTGTAATCTCTCAAGCTTTACCCATCATTTGGAATAGTGTCAGCAGCATATATAAATCTAATCCAATAGCGGAAAAAAGTACTTTTTCATTGTTATCACTTATAACTTATTAATAACGCTTATAGGGACGTTATTAGGACAAAATTCCAATGTCCCAATTTTATTTTTCTGACCGTCCAATTCCGGTAACTTGTAAATGTTTCTTAGAACCAGTTTGCATTAACTATGTATTTGTTTTTCGGTTCTTTTCCAATCGTTAAAATATCGGTTTGTTTTTTTTCTTTACTTCTGACGTCAATCACTTCTTCCCGCGAGGTACCAAACAACAACAGCTTAGTAAGATACAAAGATATGATCTTTGTTTATTTTTCAATGGAAAGTTTTAACAACTGTTCACTCGAGTGCGATATTTTAGTGGTCATGAAACATTGCTCTTCTGTCACAATGACAAGAAACGTGAAAACTAGATTTTTTACCAAAAAAATGTCGAACAATTAAACATCGAGCAAATTATTTAGAATACAACCTCGAAAAGCAGCATATTTTATAGGTTTAATTATAAAATCAATATAATAAGTAAGATAATATAATCCCAGAAAATTTAACATGTAATACTGCATATACGCATACAAGGATATATTTTTTTTAGTACTAAGTTAAGGAAAAGTTCATTACATAGTTTCCTCCCCCAATGACATTACTAGGTCAAACCATTAGTACACAGAAGTAATGATAGATTTACTGAATCATTTTTTAAAGAATTCTTATTTTTACTTGATATTTTAAATTGAAATTATATTTTTGTTGCTAAACAGTTATCAACTTCTTTATTAATGGCATTACAGGAAGTATTACATTTTTTACGCTGCTTATAAATGACGAATAATGAAAATCAAGAACGTCGCCTTTAGAATATTTTTCAAAAAAAAGATCTTTTTAAAATTTATCAATTTGGGGTGATTATTTTCAGAACGACGAAGTTTTTATTATTATTCTCATAAATTGAAAACTAAAATAGCTGTTGCTAAAAATTCGATACCATTAGTATAATAAACATATCCAGCTAAATATGAAATTAAATTGTTCACTTAGTTAAACGTTAAATGGAAAAAATTAGAAAATCAAATTATGAATGGTATTTCAAACCATTTCTATTTACAATTTTTATTTTTATGTTCCGCAGATTTTTCAAAAACTCCACCAATCTTAAATTTCAGCTCATTTACCAAAAACACAAACTATCCGTTTACTGCTACATTCAAAAAGATATTTAAGAATTTTAAGGCACTTCATGCTTCGCGGCCATTAGGTTTAAATTTATCTTAAAAGAGGGTAATTATTTTTGTGTTGTTAAGTACGAAGGAAAGCTCATTTTTAAAATTTAACAATTTAAGACGATTATTTTGAGAACGAAGAAGTTTTTTATATTATTCTCATAAATTGAAATTTAAATAGCTGTTGCTAAATATTAGATAGCGTTATTATTATAAAATTATGTTCACTTAGTTTGACATTAAGTGGAAAAAATCGGAAAATTAAATAACCTAAGTATGAACGATATTTCAGATTTTTGTGTTGTTAAATGTAAAATAAGAAAAATCAATCTGGCGCAACCGCGAATGAAACCCAATTGGAAATTCTTACCTTATCGATGAATACGAGTAATAAAAATGTTCGTTACGCGTTAACGGCGGTATTGTTTTCGAAAAAGATCGTTTCGAATCGAACCGCTGGTACCCACTTCCCCGCTAAAGGATCAACCGCCAACTGACGCGACTTTGCAAATGGATTTGACAATTTACTATCAGCCGGGAAGGACGACGGTAAACAACTTTTGGCGAACTCGCTCAAATTTGCACCACGAACGTGAAAGTTTGTCTGGAATCTCGAGTCTAGACCGATAACGATACGCCATTACTTTTCGATCTACCTCTGGAGAAGATCGCACATCGGTTATATGGGAAAGAAGGTACGATTTGAAAAGTGTGGCATATTTAAATCGAATAGCAGTTTAATATCAGATCATGAAGAGCGAAAGTGTAATTGCTAGGACTGATGTTAATTTTTGTGTAGCTGTTTTATCGGTAATTAGAAATAATAGGTGGGAGTTTTGACGATAAACTATTTTGAAAGTTGGTAGTCAAGAATTTAATCGAGTTTTGAACATACTTAATTATATTATATTACAGATACAAGAAAACCTAAAAATGGCCACTTACACTAGGTATTCACAAGAAACAGGAGCTAGTCTCAACTTTAGCGAATTACATTACATTGCTTTTATTGCAAATAAAATTTTTCACAAAATTTGTGCCTGTTGACTTTAGATATTCTATTTGCATGGTATAGTCTCTCTCAATCTTCATCGTGCTGGCTTTTTCCTGCAATTATGGAAGTTACACGTAACATTATGGACGGGCCCTCAAGGGTTTTGATGATAATATGTTTATGCAGGTAGGTACAATCTTATAAAATTACACTAAGAAAAAACAATGACAAATAAATATATACAATAAATACATAGCTAGGAATATCTATGCATAATTACATTTTTATGTTAAATTCCTGTTTCCTTATCGTCGTCATTGAGATAAATTCTAATAAGATTTATGGGGTTAAACATGCAATGATATTGAGGATGGCGTAAAATAGTACGCCCAGAAAAATTATCGCATACATACTTCTAAAGGTGTCACATTTTTGTAAATGAATTCGAAATAAATATCATTTTCTAACAAATATTGCTGGAACGTTTTCTTTGTTCTCCTCTGGACCTTTTTAACAGTCCACGGGATGCAGAAAACATGTGAAAATGACTGCGGTCAAATTTAGGCGTCCATGTTTTTTTCGATTTTCGGTTTTTTGGACGTTCCTATGAAATACGATACGTGTCGGAAATATGAAGCTACCAACTTCAAATTTGGCACACATTTGGAGGTTAGTCCTCTCACGGAAACGAAAAATCAAAATTCTTCGGGTCTTCGGTCATTGTCTATTACAGCGTAGTACATTATTTCAGAAAAAAAGTATTTTCTCGCGAACTATTTACTCTATTGATCCAGGGCTAGCTCGGATATTTTTTCAATTATATACAGCGTGGGTTGGTTTTGGGTAAAATTTCTAAAAAATCCTAAAAATGTCAGTTTTTGTGGATAAATTCTTGGCTGAAAAAAGGTCAAAAGATGGGATAATTTGGTTGAAACAATACCGTAAATCGGATCGCGAGCTACAAGTATCTGATTAACTGTTCTTGCCTATTATACAGGATGCGAGAGATATTTGAAAAAAAAATTGTAAATCGCTATTACTGGTAATTATTACATTTAAAGTCTGTTCATAGATATAAGAAAGTGACTAACTGATACGAATTAAGGAAAGACCCGGGCAAACTGTAAGAATGAAATATGGTCGAACAGACCCGTACTTTGCTTAAAATTTAATTATTTGGGGTTTTGCTAGGAAAGATACTAAACAATATTTATTTATTTATGTATGTATTTATGTTTAAATCTAAAATAAAATTACGGATTATTTTTATTACCTACTTAAATTACTTAAAATTATTCACATAATATATTAGTATCACTATCGCTATCATCGCCTGTTCTAATTATTATTTGTTCTATATTATTTGCAATATGGATATATGATTGTTCTGCTTTTTCTATATGTTTAACAGAATTTGCCCAACTTTGTGGAAGGATGTTAAAAACTTCGGTTTCTATAAGTTTGAGGATATTGGAGTTAATATGGGGAAAAACATTGTTACGACGAATGGCAGATTTCAGTTAAAATTGTATGCCCCAGATTTTTTGCATAATTATCACAGACGTATGTTCAAGTTTGTAGAACCTCAATTAATTGCTTTTTGGTATAATCTTCATGAAAATAAATGTAGTTATTATAAATATAGTTTTGGATTGTTGCTTTTATGTCACATGAAGAAGGGGTTTTAGTCAACTGTCTGCTGTGATAACTTGCATTGCCCATTACAATGACGCTATTAGGAGGAATGTTCGTGGTAATCCAGAGAAGAATTTTTAATATTTTTCGCAGACAAAATCCATTTGGAGTCCAACCATCTTTGGAGCCAGCATGCGAAATAGTTATTCTTTGATCTCTTTTTAATGGCGCGTTTGTTTTACACTTATCAGTTGAGTCAACCCAACCCTTTTCCGGGGTATCATAAGTGTCGAACCAGGTTTCACCCAAGTAAATAATTGGTGTTTGTTGTTCTCTGTAAATCCTAATTTTTTGTAGATATTCCAATCGCCATTTTCGAATTCTAAAAGATTCCATTAACTTGCCTTTTGTCAATTTTTTTAAATCAAAAACCTATGTGTTGAATACATACATTCACATTTAACACCGGTTTCATCTTTTTCAAGCCTCCTAATTAAGATATCTAATGTAGGCACGCTTTGTTCCTCGTATAACTGGTAAATTTTATGCCGTATTATACCTTGATCACTTTCGTCTACACTCGAGAAAATGTCATTCGTTTCTTCTAAAGATGCTTGCTTGCTGGCACCACGTATTATACACGAAATAAGAATTACTAATAAACTTAAACTAAGTAGTATACCAAACCAAAGAATATTAAACACAGGTAGATATAAAATTATTTCGAAACTTTAGGTAATAATCTTGTTGCATTGTATCTTAATGACCACCCTTGGATAATCCGATTCAAAAGCAATTGGTCACTTTCTTATATCTATGAGCATTTCACAGCAAAATTTGCCATAATTTTAAATTTCAGGGACCGTGAAAATCAGTTTATTCAGACTGTCTGCAGACATTTCTGATTCAAAATCGACTCAACTTAACAAAGTTCTGAATATACTTCGACGACATTTTGAAATTTCCCATCATTGGGTTTAAATTTTCCTGGCAATATTTTTTTTTTCAAAATTTCGCATCATTTAATTTGTTACCCTTCAATCAAATGCAATACATGCAAACACTAATAAAAAAACATATTTACCTAATCAAAATGGGTTTGGAAATACACAGTGTCTCATATATTATAGTTAATATATATCGATTTTTTACACTTTTTTTTAAATATAATTTATTCGAAAACTATGCAAATGAGACTGTTGAATAAAAGATAGTTTTTAATTTTTCTGAAAAGCATGTCAAAAGTTCTAACGTGATTAGAATTTTCGAAAAAAATCAGAATTTGACTAACTGAGGAGGACATTTTAAATGATTACCCGGTACAATACTACACACCTATGGCATTCGGCTAAGAGAGACGGAGCATAATCAATTAAAAAACAAACTAGTCCATTATTTACCAAAATTTCCGCGTAGGTATATCATAAAGCGATTAACACAGTTAATTATCATCGATTTTGTGCGTTTTTTTTTTCTCAGAAAAACTCATTGGCGAGCGTCATTGGGCGATTGAAAAAATGGCAAAATATCGTCAATAACTTTTCATGGCTTTTTTTTATTATTCATCTTGTCCGATTTACCGGGATCGGGTTGAAAGTTCAGGGAATTTTCGCGGGAGCGGGGTAGACAGTTGGTAACGCACGTCGGAATGACTTTCGCGAAACGCTTTGCGTAACAACTAACCCAAGCAAATGCGTAGCCAGCCGAATGATCTAATAAAACATTATCCCATTTTCGGAACAAGGCCAATTTATATCGTCGGCGGAGAAAACCTGTTCGGCGGCCAAATGCAGCTGTTTTCAGAAACGATCTTATCCGCGTCTAGGAAAAATTATCGCCATTTGCGCAAACGTGTTTGTTTTACCCGACGACGCGACGCAATACTTCTTTCTGACGGCTCTGATTTCGACAACGGTGCGAATGGACATTCAAGAATGTATTTTTTAGCGACGACGATTTTTTTTTATTTATTATGTAAGACAATAGAAGTAAAACACTGTCGATTTTCACAAACGCCTATATCAATTACACTCAAACAATGAAACTCGCAAATCCGTATGAGCCTAGCACCTAGACTCGAACTGTTTCTTCCTAAAACTCATATCAAGTCGCAGAAAACGCATATAGTGACATAGTCAAAAACGATCCGTATGTCTTACGGGAACAACTTCTAAATATTGTCATAAAATGACGACCGATTCTTCATACGACTCACGCAATTATCCTATACGGGATATTCGATCCCATCCGGACTGATTACCTGCGTGAGTACAGGACATCCGGAAACCGTGCTAACATATACATCATGGAATAACACATGACAAATCCGTGTACATCCGCGTAAAACGAACACTATTTCACGAAATTGTAGGCACTGCGCCTCTATCACTTCAGAAAACAAATGTACAAAATAAAATTTTCTTTAAACGACACTCCACACTTCACATAGATGTAGCTCCAGTACCACGATAAAACTTTGCCTCCTTTTAAAAAAATTGAGGTCTTGCGTCAAATATTTTTTATTGACAGCATTTTAAACAAGTCGTGTCCAAGAAAATGTCGCAAATAACGCAAATTGAGTATAGAGCAGTGATAAAGTTTTTAACAAAAGAAGGGTCAGTACCTAAAATTATTAAAGAAAGGCTGGATGGTGTGTAGAGCCAAATTTCTCCTTCGTATTCTGTGGTGAAAGAATGGGCAAAACGTTTTCGAATGGGGCAGGAGTCCCTTAGAGTCATTAACGAAAGATATTGTTATGATTGTGGAAGAGGTGGTATTGAGTGATCGATGTTTAAAGGTCAAAGAAATCTCAGCAATTACTAAGCTTTCTGATACAAGTGTTCGTCTAATCCTGTATGATCATTTAGGTACGCATAAGGTTCCTAAAAAAAATTCGGCTATTCAAAAACAATGCCGGGTCGAGTGTGCTCGGTCTTGTTTGGAACTGTGTGGGTCGGAACCGAAGCCTGTGAAGCACCTCCAAGAAAATTCAGAGTCTGCCAGTCAACAAAAAAGGTATCGGCCACGATCTTTTGGGATTGTGAAGGAATTCTTTTGATAGATTTTCAATAAAATAATATCACTGTCAATGGTAAATATTACGCAACATCGTGACATAAATTGCGAGACTGCATACGTGTAAAACGTCGAGCAAAACTGACCAAAGCTGCCATTTTAGAGTGTGGGTTCCAACAAATAGATCATCCTCCCTATAGTCCACATATGGCCCCCAGCGACTATGATTTGTTTGGACATTTGAAAAAGGACTTACGTAGAGGGCGGTTCAACGATGAAGTTGAGTTAAAAGAGGCTGTTTTAGCTCATTTTGTAGAAAAACCAAAAGAATTTTTTTTTAAAGGGAAGGGAAGTTAAAGTGGAATATATTGAAAAATAATAAAAAATTGTTACTCTACTTTGTTTCTTTCATATTCAGACTGGGAAATTTTGGCGCTGCCCTCGTAGCTATATTGCTACCATCAGAGAGCATAAGATAGAGGGGAAGGCTCCCATTAGTGACAATGTTAAAAAGCGCACACAAGTTTTAACGCTTCTAGTGATTGTGTCGAATCATGAAGACGGAAAACATACGGAACGTACAATTCAATTCAATTTAAAGTTTGAAAAGTTTAATATGAAGAAAAATTATGTCGAAATATTTTTAATTTTTTTTTATTAATAATAAATAAAGTGATGTTATCCGTTACAAGCAACTGTATCATTTTCAGTGTGTGAAATATCTAATTCCGAGATTGGGAGAATATTAGGGGCTTCGATCAACTTTTCCCTTTCCCAAGCCACACAATAGTTCTTCCATTTTTGTGTTATGAAGACTCCATCAGAAGCATTATAATTATTTTACATATGCAAGTGCGCAGTACAGCATCAAATTTTACGGGATTGATGGAAACCTAGCATTATAATACCGTTTACAATCGGAACAAAAGATCTCTATCGCACTCAATTTGCAATGATGAGGCGGAAGCCGCAAAACGCGATGGCCATGTTCCAATGCTAACTTGTCCATTCTTAAAAGACTATATTTTGAAATAATTTCATTTTCAAAGAAAAATACCTAGTAACCACCTATGCAGTTTTTCTGGCAAGTGTCGCTTCACTAGCATCCATAGCCAACTGGACGGAATGTGAATTAAATTACTAATTAATTAATTAACTAACCAAAACTTACATCTATAGTCAACTTGATGGAATGTGTACTAAATTTTCAATTAATTTTTGTACCGTGCTACTTTACCGATATTTCTGTTATATTCTTTTTTATAAATCGATTTCAAAAATACGTTAACTTCTAGAGAGTCCTGAATATTACATCCATCATAAAAAAAAGCAGTTCATATAAACTTCGGTCCATAAATTATTAAAAAAGTTTCAGAAATCTGTCCCTAGAGGGCACTTTACCTAGAGCTTATTTGATTTTTCCTGTATTTTATTTATTTAGACTGATTTTGCAAAATAGAACAGATTGCCCTAAGCAGAATCAAAATCCTCAAAAATTGTTGGTGATACTGGACATCGCGAAAAACAAGTGGAAATATAAGCCAGCATTATTAACCTGTAGGCGCCGTGCACTAGATTTTTCGAAAAAGGACGCTAGTGCAATGACATGTTTAATTTAAGTAACATAAATACATTTAATATTTTCGAAAATTATTAATAATAATCGGGAACAGTATACAACGTTAATTACAATTCATCGAACATGAAAAAATACGCCGAACCTATTTCTAATGATTTCTCAACCGTTTATTATTGTCGTAGATTATTGATATTTGTTATAGGTGTTTCATACACTAAAGACTTTGAGTGCCCCCAAAAAAAGAAGTCCATCGGACCACCGCCGCTGATGTTTTCCTTCAATTTTGGCATGTGGGTTTTCAAAGTTCCACTGATGCATATTTCGAAACTTTACAATTCCATCACGACTGAATGCGGGTAATTTTGATTTTTTTTTAAATTTGATTGCCTAAAATTACTTATTATTTATATTACGAAATTTTTCCTGAATAGCAAGTTTTCTTGTACTCATTGACAAGTCAGCTTCCACATTTTTTTTATTTATAGCTTGGTATCCCTTCATTCATATTACCAGGTTTGACTGTTGCCAAATTAGTACTTAAATTTCTGAGCAGTTGCTTTGATCATCAACCGTTTCAGAAATAATAAACAAATATCTAGTTATTGGGGCACATTTTACAGAGTCGTGTTTTCTGAAAGAGACCTTTTCGGTCACATATTTTTTAACCAAACCAACGTCGTCTTTTAATTATCTATTGAACCTAGAAATTAGCGGATCATTTTTTAGAACACCCTATACATTGCTTTATGGTAGCGGCTTCATCTTTCTGCCGGATCGGCAACTTGTTGCCCAATAGGTGATATCGGAGCGGGTGGGTCAAAGCAAGCTTTTCATTATTTTTTGTGGCTTTTAACCATCAAGTCGATTTATTTTTTACTAACTTTAACTAAATTTACGCATATTTTGGCTAAGCTTTTGGCCATCGTGTCCCACTTATAATGTTATATATAATAATTATAATTATTTATTAAAGTGTATTTAATAAACGTTACTGATTAGTGACTATTTTTCAATAGATGAAAAAATTTATTATTGGTATTTATCAGATTTTCGAAAGTTCTGGCTTTAGGCTAAATCCATAGAATTATCCAAAAAATAACATCTTCCATAAATTAATGATTATGATTCGGTTATAATAATATGGACAAGCTTTTTTTAGAATTCTTAAACCGTCCATTTTACCAAATGGCTAAAAATATACAAATAACCAGAATTTATAATTATAATAACAAAAAAAAAATATTGGTTAATTTTTGGAGGTGGGCCTCTTTGCCCCAGGGGGGCCGCGTTGCCCCACCCTCTCCTGCGTCTGATGGCGAATAAATTTTAAAAATTAAGTTTGAGTGAAACGAGTGAAATGAACTATTTCTTAAAGTTTAATAAACCTACCTATTGTATTGGTTACGTATCATACACACGGACTTGAATAACATTTATTTAACAATTCAAAAACAAATTAAAAAAAAAACATTTAGGTTATAGCGCGAGTCTGATCACGAGTAAAACAAATTGATAAGTCAGAAACAAAAGGAACGCGACAGTCGCGTAATGGAGGTATTTGAACAGCTTCAGGCGGCGTCTGCCAGCTTCCACGGTGTCGAGAGGATCCTTGAGTAGGTTCACTCTCGCTCCTATAACTCCGTCTGAAATGAACAATCACTTCAAGAAGCGAGCAACGCGCTTCGATTCGATTTTTACTTTCAAGCTCCTCTTCCCAGTTCACTGCGCTGGCGTCGAAGTTAAACATTTTGCGGTCTTCTACTGACATCTTGCCGAAAAGTTTTCGCACGTTGGTGTTTTTCCATTTCCATTCCCGCATCGCGAAATAGGATATTACTTCCACGAATGTCCCTATTTTTCGATATCCTTTCACGGCCCTGGGAGTAGACAAGCGTTAAAACCACTAAATCTAGATATTTTGGCTATCAAAGTATCAGGTATAATACGACCAAAAATATAGTGCCTCAACCGCAGATCTTGGCAGAACTGTGTTAAAATCCATCCCAACAGATGTTTATTCTGTACCTGTACTGTACCTGCCTTACATGTAAATTTGCAAATAATTATTTTGGTCTGTGTGCCTGTCGATTAACAATATTCTTCTTCTTACATTTTCGTGTCTTCTATATAGTTCTTCGATATCTAGACAACAACAGTCTTTTTTAAGACTGTAGATCATATTCGCTGTAGATAAAGGTACATCATATGAATACACATAAACATTTATTAGAATCTTACAATCAAACATTTTTTTATGGTTCCTGTTTTTAAACACTTTAAAATGTGGTGACCGTGGAATGAAGCAAATGTTAGAAGAAGACATGGAAAACAACGCAGAATTTTAAGACGAAGTGGAGGTGGTAGTCGAACCTAATGACAATTTAGAAGACGAACTACCTCAGCAACAAATTGTTTTGAATGTTTACAATTTTATTAGAAATTCAGAGGGGGAAGTAGGAGCAGCAATAAAAACAAGTGACATGACCAAAGTTCCGAAGTTAACTGTATGAAAAATTGTTGCAAATGGGATAATGGCAAATGGTACTTCACGAGTTTTTAAAGAGCAACAAGCAGATCTAACTAGACGTGCCGCTTTTACATGGAAAACGCATAATAATTCTTCATGCTGGGTCCAAAAATCATTTGACGGTGGATTACCTTATTATTAAACTTATTTTTGTAAGCCAAAAACGTCAAAGTTTTAAGTGTGGGTTACCATGAAAACATGATCGCTTAAATATTTGAGGACTGGTTTGAAAATAAAGTCTTGACAAAACTATCGTCAAATTATGTTGGATATTGCCTCGTATCATTCAGTCCAAATTAGAAAAATTCCAAATACTTCTTCAAATAAAGAAGAAATTAAAGAATTTCTGTACGAAAATTATTGATATTTTGAAGAGAGCTACACGAAAAATCAACTACTGGAATTATTAATCATAAAACATAGCACAACAAAATGTACATGAAATATTGAGATTACCCCCGTATCATTGTATATTTAACGCGATTGAGATTATTTGGTCTGAGTTGAAAGCGCATATAAGAAGGAATAACGCTGCACCAAAATTTAGTGATGGTACCATAAACGCAATTCCGCAAGGTGTAGCTAAAACATCAGTAAGGTGTAACAGTGAAAAACAACTAATAAAAGAAGAAAATATTTATCGAGAATAAATAATGATACTATGTAAAAATGTAATGAAATAGAACGTTACCTTGTTCTAATTTTTTTATGTACATGTTTCAAGAATGCTCGGCGAAAAAGATTGAAAACATACTTATATCCTGCCTATTAATGTGGGGTGTTCTATAAAGGGCTGCAGTTGTGGAGTAATAAACAGTAGGCAAAGTTAATCACGGGGTCGGTTGAAAAAGCACTATATTTCTGGTCCTAGTATATCAATCAAAACTAACTAAAGCTTAAAACGCGGACATACACGCTGCCACCTCCGGGGTCCCTCAAGGTTCCCATTTAGGGCCTTTATTGTTTGTAATTTACATTACGGATGCAGTAACATGTATCCAGCATAGTCAATTTTACACAAAGTTACTTCAACTTCCAGCTACGTAAAATACGGTTCCTATTCAATTCAACTACTCTGCAAAGAGTATAGTGGTATCCGAGGAGAAGGTAGTATTTCAATCTCCCATAAATACTATGATTTATTAATAGACAAGTAAAGCTTTTCAGCGCTTATTACGCGTATGTTCAAGATCGAATAAACATCTGTCGTTTAGAGCCCTAAGTATGACGTAATATCTAATAGTTAGATTTTCAAGGCAGGACTTTAAAATATCCCGAGTCACTGTTCCAAATAAGTTTTACCCAAATGTTAGTAGTGTGTTAAAAGTTATTGAAGGTTAAAATTGCGTTTATTCTTCATGACAATTTCTAAACCCTTTAAGCGGAGTTTGCCATGTTTTACATTATAAGTAGGACATTTAGGACAAATTGTGTCACTTATCCTGTGCATCAAATAGGTTTCGAAACCTTTGCTCTGTTCTACTTAGTTTATGGTCGATAGTTGTTAGTTTTTCTTTAAACAAAAAAACAAACATAAGGTCTTTGAATTTCCGGTGTAGGGCATACCGAATTAAATACTCTTAAAGCAAAGCTTCCCTTTTTAAAGGAGATAGACGAAAACTAATGTCAGTCTCTTGTTAGAGTTACACTTTGAATCAGTAGGCTGTGAACATTGTTAGTTGTTTGAATTGTGAATTTGGTTAGTTTTGCTTAGGATATTAGAGCGTATTTAAAAAAAACTTAACCAAAAAGTGCATGGTGGTTGAAAGAAAAATGTAACCGAGTACGCGTTTCGTGTTGAATCTTTGAAATTTATTTGAAAGATTAAACCGAAACCTAACCGAATTATAGCCAAAATCACAATTTCACAAGTAGAACTACCTCAACGCATTTGTTTTTTGTTTTACATTCGCATCTTCTTAAGCATACTTGTTCAAAGTTCAAGCTTCTATTATTTCGAAGGACTGCATCAAAACATAAAGTGTGCTATTTTTACGGGAATCTAAAAATATACGATACATATTACTTATACAATATTAGTTTTAAAAATTTTATATTTATACCATTAAATTCTGCTTATAAAGTTTAAATAGGGACAGTTTTGCAACTTAGGAATAAATGAATTGTCCCTATTTTAAAGAATTAATGCAAATAATTTCCTTAAAAAACATTTAAAACCTGCACGATTTGGCAACTGCGCGAAAGATTATATACTAGTATACTTACATTGGTTTTTTGCCGATCAGTAGCAAAACGATATCGACGAGATAGGCAGGCAAAGTGTGCAAAAAGAACACGCAAATCTTGTGGAAGTAGAGATTGCGTCTCAAATTGAAGACGCCGTAGTACCAGATGATTTTCGTTGAACCGTACTTGACCCCGTATTTAATCAAAAGCCTTTGGAACTCGCCTAAAACGAATTCAACATGTTTCCGTCGAAGCGAAATTTAATTACTTGTCACTTCGTAACTTTTGCAACTCCTCGATAGTGGTACGATTCTTGTTTCTTCCATTCACAGTTTACAAATAAATTCGTCTTTTTGTTAATTTCTTCATTTTCCTTCGAAGTATTGCAAATCGGAAGGTTTTGTAAATTCATGTTTATTTGCTATAACTATTCATTTTTTTTGTCTTGTAGGTAAATCCTAAGAATTTTTTTTAAATTATTTATGAAACAGTTTTAGATCTAAATGAACTGGCCAAAAAATCAACTAACCAAAACTAACCAGTATTTTTTTACTTTAAACTAGAAAACATAAAAAACGGTTCGAAAAATATTAATGATTATAATAGGCACGTTTATCTTTTTGAAAACCATTTTAATGTAGACATTTTATTTAAAAATTATTCAAAAATTCAAGAAACTTCAAAAACTACTTTCCAACTCATTTGAAGAAAAATAAATTGTCACCTAACCTCACTTTGGTTTGTTATTGTTGTTGTATGGTATTTTTTCATGTGGAGCACGATAAGGGAAACTATAAATGTTTGTCCAGGAAGAAATACAATATATTAAAATAATGTCTCCACGTACCTCATGACGTCATAACCAATGGAGTAGTGTTTTTGTATGACATCAAAATTAAATTGCGCTGTTTAGTATTAATTACGGAGTAAATATGTTTTTGTTTTTAGGAAAAATATTCTGTAGTGGAACTTATTATATTTTAGAATATAATAAAAATGTACATGGTGTGCCATTCATCTTGGGACTTGAAACTATGGGGGATGGAGCCAAAAGTTAAATGCAAAAGTTAATAGAGGTATTACAAACCTTTAATTTATTTGTCTGTCAACTGTCAGTTTCAGTCAAGCTCTGAAAAAGCCAACAGGATGATTGGCGAAACGTCAGCAATTTCGACTAAGCAGAACCGACGCACGAGGAATCCCGAAGTTTTGTAAAAAGCATACATTTACATAATCTTTGGATTTTCATCAGCCCATCGGCAAGATTATGGTCAACTATGAAATGGTAAATCATAATAGCAGCACTTTACCACTTGTTTTCTTCAAACGGCGTCATAGCCACCTTACAATAACTGAACTTATATGGCACCAGCATATTATTTATGATAGACAAATGTTGAAAAGGAAATATTTCAAAAAGTAAAAATATTAGGCGCCTTAATTTTTAATACTAAATATGACAAGATTATAAAAATAAGTAGTTTCAATTTAAAAAAAAAATTGTGGCAGTTTTTTAATTTTGTTTTTGATCTTATTTTTCGCGTACCCTGTATTAATATGTATCGAAATTTCTTATGACATCCGTTATTCGAGTCCTTTGTCTACAACAAAACTTTCTCAAGTAAACAATAAATGCTTCCGAAGAAAAGTTCAAAATGTGAAAAACGGCTATACTTAGATATAGGATATTATACACAAAATATCCCTAGAATTTTGAATATATATTCAAAAATGAAGTAAATACCAGCTGTTACATTTAATATAAAAAAGTTGTTATTCGGCCACGAAAAATTAAACAGCATTAGAATAAATTAAAGGTTTGTGATAACTCGATTAATTTTATATTTAACTTTTGGCCCATAAACGGCCCACCCTATACAAGAGTCCTGTTCCTTGTACATCAAAATAACATCTTTTTCATTAACAAAAATGGGGTCAACGAATAACGGTATTCTTTGGTTCTTACCCCATGTCACCGGATTGTCAGCAGACGAGATACAATTATAAATCATCAAATCCTTTTCCTTGGTATCCGACGGAGAATGTTGCAGGCTGAAATGAGTGTCGCGTATTTGAACGTTTGAGCTCTTGTCTTGAAATTTACCTTGGATCGCCAATATCCCAACCCGCTGCTAGGATTTGATTTGCTACGAGGTCAGCCGGAATGAGGTCGGCGATATTGTCCTTGTCTCCTTGCATGGTCCTTATAACGCCCACACCTACCCCCAAAGCGACCCCTGTGGCACCGTAGATGTTGTCAGTCCAACCGGGTACCGGTTCTTTGAAAGTTGAAAGTACTGAAACCGATCGACTGTTGAATTGGAGTTGGCTGATGTGCCATATGTTCACCTATGGACGGCCGTACTATGGCAATCGGCAGCAAGTCTCGATTGGTTAGTATTAGTTCTTCGGCTATCGCTTTGGTGAATACGTAGGTGTTGGGAATGTCGCCCAATAGTCTAGAAGTACGAGAAAATAAGTGCTATACTGCCCAAGCCATTTATTTGGGCTAAAAAATAAGCCAATTAAAACTACTATAAACAACAATAGATAATGGATTCCGCGTCTCTCTATGACACCATGTCCTGATTTAATTGTTTTGAGTATGCAACTACTTTGGAAACTGCCTAATAGTATATTATATGTAAGGAGAATGTACTTGCATCATATAAAGGTTCAAGTATGTAATTCACAACGCAGCTCTACAATTAAAGATTTTTTTTGTTGCCCTGGATATCTGTGAAAATTTTTATGTTTTCAAGTGCCCAGATTACGAATATATATGAATATTCTGCACAACTTTTTCGAGCATACAAACATCACGTGATCCCTATTCTTAGCGATCCCCACCCTTTGGTCCACAGAACAGCTGAGATCTCAGTACGAAGTACCTACACGTGAATCTAAATAAGTTCTTATCAGTTAATATTTCGTTTCAATTGCTGAATATAAATTTGTTTGGTCTTTTAAAATGTGAGTTCGTCAAGAAGAAATTGTAAATATAGTACTAATTTGTTTTGTTATATTTGCGGTGTTTATTTAACAAAAAAACAACAACGAAACAGACTTTGTTAAGGAGGTTTACACTGAATATTTCGGTTTTAAAATTGTCAAACTAGAAAAACCATGGGTTCCTCATAAAGTTTGTAAGTTATGCGTTGAGTCTTTAGGGTTATGGAAAAAAGGAAAACGTTCTGGATTCGACTTTGATGTTCCGATGGTCTGGATGGAGCTTGCAAATCATTTCGATGATTGTTACTTATGCGTTGTAGATGCTAAAGGTTTCAATCGCAATCAAACCTGGAGATTTACAGTCTAAAAAATGTCTTATACTACACAGTGACAATCTCAATCAACAAGGATGTTATCAAATTCACAGAAATCGGGACCGTCTACAGGTGGAAGTGAATGAGAAGGTGAAACATCTACGCCCAAGTTATTTTCTCAAAAGGAACTCAGTTACTTAATACGTGATCTCTATTTATCAAAACAAGGATCAGAATTATTAGCTTCAAGATTGAAAGAAAAAAATTTATTGGCCCCAACAGTGACAATTACGACATACAGGACGCGAGAAAAAGAGTTATTGCTATTTTTTAGTGAAGATAAGGTCTGGTGTACTGTAATGATATGGCGAAGCTACTATTAGACATGGGTTTAACAGCATACAAACCTACTGAATGGCGATTTTTCATTGATAGTTCTAAAAGAAGTTTGAAATGCGTTTTACTGCACGATGGTAATAAATTTGCATCTATTGCAATTTACCCATTCAACAAAACTCAAAGAGGAGGATGAAAATGCAAAATTAGTTTTAGAAAAAATTAAATACTGGGAACATCAATGGCCGATTTGTGTAGATTTGAACATGGTTAATTTTCTACTCGGCCAAGAGAGAGGATACACGAAATGCCCGTGCTTTATTTATATGTGGGGCAGTAGAGCAAAGCAACATCATTGGAATCAAGATGTGTGGCCTGTGAGAAATTATTTAACTGTCGGTAAAACCAATGTAATAAGAGAGCCATTGGTAAGCAGAGACAAAATCATACTCCCACCCTTACATATTAAGTTAGGAATGATCAAGCAATTTGTTAGATCATTAGACAAGGACGGAAACTGTTTTAATTACATTTGTAGAAAATTTCCTAAGCTCAGTATGGAAAATTTGAAAGGTGATGGTCCTCAAATACGGCAAATGATGAAAGACTCACATTTTATCAAAGTTATGACTGTTCGTGGAAGTAAAGCTTGGGAAAGTTTTGTATTGGTAGTCGAAAATTTCATAGGTAATCATAAAGCACCAAATAATGAAGAAATTTTACAAAATATGCAGACAAATTTTCAAATTCTTGGAGCAAATATGAGTATCAAGTTACGCTATCTTCGCAATCATCCAGATAAATTCCCGGATAATTCAGCGAATTATCTAAAAGGATCTAAAAGTGATGGAAGAACGGTATCAGGGTCGCTGGGATTGTCACATGATGGCAGAGTACTGCTAGTCTTTAAAAAGAGATTGTCCAAAGAAGAATTATAAAAGAAAAGCTAATAAAAGGCGTTTTATGGAAATATAGTATAAGTTTTTATCATTTTATTCTCTATTTACTTCAATGTTTGTTAATCTTTCAAAATAAAACTAATATTTTCAACATTTATGTCATTTTAACAAAATGGAGAGCAATTCTTACAAAATCATTGATAGTTTCATGAATTGTGAGCAACAATATATATTTAAAATTAGTCTCATATCCAGGGCAACAAAACCACTGTATACCAATGTAATCAACCCCATATATGATACTTAATCTTTTTCCACAAAAAGTTTGTTTGATTGTTCTATGTGTTATGCTTAAATGGGAAAACACATATTCTTTGTACGTACTGTGGAGTGACGGCGTCCAGCATATCGTCATCCAATGCATCCACGACCGTCATAAGACTTTTGCCTGTGAGCCTCACCTGGTGGACCTCCTCGTGTATCTCTTTGCGGGTACAGTGTGCAAAAGCCGTCGACACGTGCACAAAACTCTGTAACCAATTGCGAGACGAGTGCACATATTGTTGAAATAAAGTTATTTTGAAACTAGCATCCCGTACCTTCAAATGTTTCATCTGTTTAGCTATTTTCATCAAGTCGCCCGTAGCTCGTACGTTGATATTCGTAGCGTCACGCAGTTTCGCGTTGAAATTGGTCGTAGCGGCTACGTGAAAAATGCAGTTTACTTCGTTTTGAATGCGCTGAATATCTGGCGGACTCAGGCCCAAGTTTGGCAGTGCCAAATCGCCTGCGATTGGCTGAATTTTGTCCATGTAGTCGGGCGACTCTTTGGCAACCTTGGAGAAGAGCTACGACCGAGAAACAATCAACAATACAATAAATATTTAGCAAATCTATTTAAGAGAGGTTTGCGAGAATTTTAAAAATATTCCAGAAAAACAATTTGCGTTACATTTTCCATTTCAACCTAATTAAGTACACTATTAATTGCAAAAAATCGTCTTTGAAGTAGACCCCCCTCCCTTCTCTTACAAATGTTTTCACGGTATTTACGGACACCGTGTACCGGAAAAGGAAAAAAATCAGTCGATTAGCAATTAAACGTAATTTTTAGTAATTTAAACGTAATAATTTAACGTAATTTTAAAAAGACGCAACATTATTTTTGGTTTTCCGATGCTAGATAGTTGCGTCGGTTTGAAATGTCCTTAAACTTAGATGCGTCTTTGAAACGTTTGTTACAAGACAAAGCACTGCGAATGAATCACTTTAATTATCGTCCATCGCTGCCCAGCCAAGGAAATCCGCTATAATTTATGTAAAACAAAGAAGAAGATGGAATTTTCACCGGTGCTGTTGTTTACATTGCGACAAAATTGAAATGTTTAGTCAACTTTTACGCGTAAAGAACTGTGGAATAGTTAATTAAGAGTTTTGCGTGCAATATGTGTTTATTTATAGCACAATCAAATGCCTTTTGCAATTAGCAACTTGCACTAGAAAAAGTTAATTCTCTGGATCGTAAGATAGAAAGAAGACCATATTTACCTCCTTGCTGAACTCTTTGGCTATTCTTTCCCTCTCCTCTTTGTCCCGTTTTGGCCTGACTAGCACGTAGATCGTCGTCAGATCGGAACATGATCTCAAGAGTTTCTCGACCACGAGTTTGCCTATAAACCCCAAAGCTCCAGTTATGAAGATGGTCTGGCCCGAGTAATATTTTTGAATCGGCGTCCTTTCTTCAACGTCCGTCATACTCGTGGCAGCCATTATCTGGGAAATTGTTAATTATGCTTTAAAGAGTATAAAATGTTTTGTCTACAAACTAAAGTCGATTTATTTAATTTAAAATCTAATTTTTTTAGATTGATTATTAATATAAAACATTTACGGCTATTGTTGGAGTTCCCAAACACTTCTTCTTGGAAAGTAATCATTACGTGGCCTTAATAAGCCTTTAATATATCATTAACTTTCTACATACCAACTAATGAAGCTTGATGCCCTTATATTTAAGTTTTTCCAATTAAATGGCGATTAACATTAACGACAAACAGCTAACGAGTGATCGCGGCGACTGGTAACAATAATTTTCCTCACGAAATCCCGTTGAAAAGTAAATTTCAGTTGCAAGGAACAAGGTGCGCCAATTTTGAAAATTGTTTTTGATTATATGTTTGATTAAATTGGCAATTGAACGCAAATTAATAATGTAACAAAACGTTCCCGAGGTAAACGCGTCGTGAAATATACCAAAGCAGGATTTTTATTTATTTAGATATAATTTATAAATAAAATATAATAAAACAATATTATAATAATAAATAAAAATTGATAAATAGCGAAAATTAACTTCGGCCTTTTAGCAGGATATGTAGTATTCGAGAATTCGAAGATTTTAGGAATAGGTCAATGTCGTAGCAAGGTAGTGAATAATATAATAAATTAATTTGTATTTTAAATATAGCGGAGTCATCGTAGGTGTTGCACAACAAATGTTTGCAAGAAATACGAAAATGCTGATTAATTATTTAACAGGTATTTGAAACAACATTTTCTGGCATTTTTTTTGTGTTTTTCGTTTATTATCGTATTTTTCTACTTCATTTATACAACTGCTTAGACTTGTGTTTAATAAAAATCATAATTTTAAACAAAAAAGATAGGTAAATGCGTAAATTTAGTGTAGCATCTATTTGCACAAATAAATGTAAAGGGAGATTCCGCTAAGCTATATAAAACTCTACAATTACCGAAATCACGACTTAACAATGGAACCCAAAAATTAAGACACAAACTGAGATTAAGGACAAAAAACACCTTTATGAGTTAAATTTTGAAAGAATTTTATGAGAAACCTAGCCAGAAGATAGCGTTTTCTGAGAAATTCGATAGAACAATAAATAATTCTATGATTTGATAGAGGATAAGAAATGCTTTTAAATAATGTTCATATGATGCATTTTCCATCGTTATTAGGATCACAAAAACAAGATTTGATTTTTTTACAGTAGGTTATAGCTCCCAACAGATATTTGACAGCATGGTAACCAACCGAATCTACAACAGACGAAGTACACATTACTGATCAACACAATGTCTCACTATATATATTACTGTCAACCATATCAATTAATCAATAACATATTGAAATAAAGAAAAGAAAGTTGACCTAACTTTGGCTTATTTGTCCCAAGTTATCCCAAATTAGTTAATTGACATTTTTTAAGTTATCGACTTTTAAATTTTGTATAAAAAATCTATTTATTATTAGTTCAGTATCAAGGCATTTGTCAATAAGGACATTTCTTTTTCAAAGCCATGGTTTATAGGAATACAGTGTCAAATTTTTTAATTTAAATGAACCGTCACAAATGTTTTTTCGAATGTCTGTTGAGAGCGGTCATGGTCATGGTATACTGTCAAAAAAATTAATTTTATTTTTGCGGCACTAAGAATCATAACTAATGTGATTTGATGCATCATTTGAAGTGTTTTTATGCTCTATCTGAAAATATTCAATATGCCACCCCTAAAAAAAATTCTATGGCGTACGTCGAAAAAAAAAAAGAAATCTTTATTTATATCATCATAATCTTCTAAAAATATGTTCTAATAATGTTTCAATCCCAATATCATATTTGGCGTATCTGTGAAATCTTTGTCATCAATTCATAACCATGTATCTAGTTTTGTTAGAGTTTAAATAATAAACAAACATTTTTAAAATATATACTTCTTAACTGTGTGAAATTTTATAACTTAATTCTCATTAGAAGACCAACAATTTTCAATACATAATTTTTTACGTATTGCGAAAAGCCTCTTAATTCTTGGTTAAAAGGATATCTATCCAGTTGGTATAAAGTGGTGAGACAATGTGCTTCCTATTTAATTATAAATTCATATTACTGCGATTGTGAGCTCTTGTAATGATTCTCTTTATATATTCGCATATGTACACTTACGTAAAAAATATACGATCAAAATTATTAGCAGTTAAAAATTAGGAAACGATATTTTGAAAAAAATTTCATAAGAATTATTTTATAATTTTAGTTAATTCTTTTTCCTATTATGTCTACTTTACAACAACAATTCTTCCATATATCTACTGGATATACAGAGCGCTGTTGAAAAAAATGTTGACATGGATATTTAGGTTTCTATTTAAATGTAACATTTTGACGATACTATTTTTTCTAAGTATCCTGTGTTTTTTTGAAAATATACCTAAGAAAACTAGTTATCACTGTTTATAAGGAAAGTGGCGCAAAATAGACGAAAATTGGAGGGAGTTATTTTGGATTAACACAAGCCATAGAAACATAAAATGTATAATGTCACAGTTTTTTGACAACTAAATTTTATGAGGAAAACAGGAACCTTTTTTATTGCCCTGTTCATAAAAAATTAAATTAAAGCTTCGTATTTGAAATAGCTCTGAGATCTCAATAAAATTATCGAAAAAACTTAGGGGGTGTTAGATTTATATCAAAATTATATAGATATACAGAATGTTTCAAAATTTGCAAAAACCCAGATGGAAATCGCAGATCATCAATTTTTTCTTTAAAGGCCTATGTAAATGTTTCACATAACTAAAAAATATTTTTTTAAAACCGCGAAATCTGTGAAATATTTGTAAAATCTGCGGCTGCGTGAAATCTACCAATTTTGGATAGCGATTTGCCCCTCGGATATCTCCATGTTATCCCATCCTTATATTGGTCACACTGTATAAATGTTTCCCATTTTGCATGCTAAATTGTTAATTTCAGTTCTATCATTCCCCAACCATAATTTTTTAAAATTTCTTCGTTTGTTTTTGCGACTTGCTGAACTGCTTAGATAAAAGAGCACATTTTTTGCTAAAGGTAAATATAGTTCCTATTTATATAAAAATATAAAACTAAAATAGTACATACCTTCTCTAGATTTAAGTTGAAAAGAGATAATCCGCAAATAACCAGTTCCAACTAGCGAAAAACACAACAATTGAAAATAAAACTTCGATGCTTTTTATTTAAAGAATCACTTACCCACACAAATTACGATATAATAATTAAACAATGAGAGTGTCGAGTGCACAACGAACCAAGTTTGCCGCCGTTTCAATTTTAACCAAGCCCGACCAATGGGTATGTGTTGCAAGCGAATGTAAACAAAATGACGACCATTCAATGTTACCGTAAAATATATTGCTGCGGTGTTAGAATTTTAGAGGTTTTAATTACACGTACTACGGCGTTTCGCCCGTGGCATTCCGAATTTTCAAGAACCCGTTGAAACCAGTACCGCTTTGGTGAAGGACCTCTAAACTTGGTAAACTCTTTAACAATTAGAATTAAATTACTTATAAAATAAACTACGAGGTAACCACAAGCGAGCATAACAAAAAGCACTGCGTAGTAGTTGTACTGTAACATCTTCAACCGTCGTCGACCTCTTTCCAACATGTCCATCGGATCGTCCATTAGATAAATTCTACCTCCTATTGCCAAATCTGAAAATAGATCATTCGTGGTGATGTTTGTAGTAAAAACTAGTAGCAATTTACTTTCGAACATATCATCCCAATCGATGAAGCTTACATCGAAATTGAAAATTATTTTGTCGGATGCGGACATTTTCCTGTAGACTTTACTCACGTTGCCGTTATCCCAGGTCCATTCCCGATTGAGAACGAACGAGTAATGATTCAATACAGCCCTGGCTCTTCGGTGTACTCCCACAAAGCTGGAAAAAATCAACACCCAAGTCATGCATTTTCGCAAAAACTAAAGAAATGCTTCCAAGCAATAACATTGTCATAAAATTTCATTCATTTCAGGATGCTCTCAGAAAAATTTTCTTCCAGGCTGAGAGAAATACATAATTTCCCGAAAATTGTTTGTCTGGTTCTGTTTTTTACGTGGGATCCAGTAGCGTAATCAAATTTCCTCTGGGACTCGCGAATTTTGATTTGTACCTACAAGAAATTTACATTTTTTAATATAATGTATACATATATACACATATACCTAAAATGCAAAGCATGTATCTCTAATTTATAATTTTTTATTTATAGGTCATGGAAAATATTTTTTTTCAAATTCTCACAATTCTTTTATTCTGGGTTAACATGAGTCATAGCAGAAGAAAGCACAAAAAAATCAAAATAATAATTACAAAATATCACACTAAATTATATTACGAAAATGGGAACCTTTTTTCCTTCGCCTACTAATTAAATCTTGGTTTTTGTATTTGAAATGGCTTCTACATGTTACATATTTTTAAACGCCTCCTAGCAGTTATGAAAAAAATAGGTGGTGTTAAAAGAACATTACTTTATATGTACATCAAAATTTAAATCAAAACGAAAGTGACTACGCCACTGGATACTATGGAAAATACCCTATCCAGATTAGTTCTCATCCTTTCGAGTCTAAAAATGCAATATTTACAAAATCATCCTGTACCTAAAAATCCAAGATAAGCTGCGTATTTCCATTTCATTTCATAAAAGGCAGGCTTGGATCACACCCTCAACACGCTAGATTTATTAATAAAAGAGGTACGCCACAAAACCATCGAAAGTGAGACACACTGTACAGAGCGTGCGGCATTTGCAAAAGAAACTGACAATTTACTATTTCACTTTGTAATATAAATCCTGTATTTAAATGTAAATAGAAATAGACTGTTTCGGGAAATACGATTTTTATATTTGAAGTTTTCGTCTCTCATACAGGGTGCTTCAAACTTTCCAAAAATCCAAATTTTCATATTTTTCATCCCACGACATAATTTTGAAGTTATATGGCAAAACAGGCAATGTGTATATTTTAAAAGCATTCTATATACATTGTACGTGCAAAAAATAACCTTCTTTCATGTAGTATTTGGGAAAAAAATTCAAAGCAATCAATTTGTAAAAAACTGTTAAGGCAAAACTTCACCTTTAACTATTCAAGTTGTTTTTAATTAAATTTTTATTAGCGCTTAAAAACTTACGTGGCTTTTTCGTCTTTTAACGTTAATATCCAATCTAAAGCGTAAGCTGACACCGAGTGCAAAACGAAATCTAGAACGGTATAGAGCAGCCAATGACGTGTCATAATACACGCTGGTCCATACCATGTCATTTTGACGGACGCATGCTTAGCACTTTTTTCTTTCAGAAGCGCTGTATATTTCCCTGTAGATAAATAATGGAGTTCACGAAGATGTTAAGCAATTGTAGTAAATTGTAAAGATCCAGAAAAAAATAAATCCACTACTTAACAATATTTTAAGTTGGTATATAAGAGTGATTTCGAAAATTTGCAAATTTTAATTTTTGAGTGTATTGGGTATACCAGATTGAATAATAAATTAATAAAATTACCAACAAATAACACTTAAATTAACACTAATTTCCATTAATTACTGCTCCCATGACCATCTTGCTTCTACTAAATAAATAACGATAGATAGTAAAGAACCTTTAATTTGAGGTACATTTCTATGAAAATGACCGAAATAGCACCAATAAGAATGAAAATAATATAAATTCCGACACTTGAAAAACAGAGTGCAATCGAAACAAAACCGACGTCATTTCTTACTTGCAATATATCTTGTTTAGAAATAATCAGTTGTATAAATTCTGAAGAACTTTGGGATGTGATAATATGCATATTTTAATCTACACAAATCTTTAGTCAAATTTGACAACAACTTAACCTCAAATATGAGTAGGATCAAGAGTAAGACAACATAAAGTTAACAGCCAATATCCTTGCCAAAATGTAACTTAAACCAAATTTCTAAGTTCTTAAGTGTTTTAAACTACTTATTAACCAATTACAACCAAAATTTCCTTAAATCACCTTATTTTCTCACTATAATTCCATTAATGACCAATGTTTATCATTAGTTATCGGCTATTTCCACACATTTCTCCTAAAATTTTCTCAATGACTTTTTGCCCATATTAAACAAACTAAATTCATGTTTAACACCCGCTTTATTTTCTGGGAAATTAATACCAATTTAATCTACGCTTTCACTAGCTTTTGAATGAAATTTAAGAAAGTGCTGTCTAGCTTACTCAACTCAGGTGATTGAGTTGTCGTTAGAAGACACGAAATTGTAAACAATATGATAACTTTGTTGTATATCTCCAGAATTTGAGACTTTACTCAGATCCCAAGCGACTGCGAGTATTGGCCACCATATCGACTGGAACTATGTCTCCCTTTTTATTTCCATCGGCGTGCAGGCATCGGATATTTCCCGACTCGAGTTGAATTGTTACATCTATCGTTCCGAACATAGTATCGGCCCACCCATTCAAGGGCTCCATGTACGTAGCGAGCACTGAGAAGTGAATCTAATAAATCGCAAACTATGGAAGGCTACAGTAACGTTGTTTGAGGAGGTGCACGAACGTTGTCTGTATCTTAAACACTCGATTTCAAAGAAAATACTTCAAATGCACCTATAGAAATTATCAAATTTGTGGTTATTACTATGTAGCACTTCACTTAAGAAATACAAATAAAACAAAAAGAAAAATCAAGTTAATTCGTTAATAAAAAATGCGGATGTGGTGATACGCCAGAAGTTTCCCACAGGGTCAGATTCAATCTATCTAATTAGTGTACGCTTCAATCTTGTATAATATATTATATTATATTATATTTTTATTGATATTATTTTTTATTTCATTGTACCATTCGAACAAGCTCAAAACAAATCAAGACTGAATATCTGCAAGCTCAATTTTAATGCAAGAACGGAGGGATTTTGGAAAAGGTAAATAAAATTATTGAAGAAGTGGTCAGAGACTCGGAGGACCTCGAGAGAATTCACAACAATTAACAAACAAACAAAAAAAATAGAAAAACAAACCTCGTCAATGAGCGAAATCTATCACAAGCTCTTATCTGTTACAAAGATAAACTAAGACAGAAGGTAAAAGCTAAGGGAGTCCTCATCAGGAAAAAGAAAAATTCAAAATAAACAGTTTACCAATAACCAGAGGAATTTCTATCGCGCTCTGGACAACCAGCAGAATGAGCTCCAGACAGAACTGGGAAAAAACCTGGGAAGAGTCAACCACATTTAATGCGAAAGCTCACATGCTATGCCTGAATTGACAATAACAGCTGAAGACATCCATAATAAGACCAGATCTCTATCTGCTTGGAAAGCACTGCGGCCTGATGGCATTCAGAACTTCTGCAAAGAACAACCTTTAATCGATTCAGTAATCCTCAAACAGGGCCAAGTGAAACGTAGAAATCTCAGCCTCTGTTACATCGATTACAGCAAAGCGTTTGGCTTGAACCCACATGACTGGTTAAAGAAAACCTTGGAAATATATTAAATACACCCTGCGATACGACAGTTACTAACCACTTTGATGACTCGCTGGCGGACCCAACTACACCTAGACAGCGACAAATTGGGAGAAATTTACATTGGCAAAGGCATTTTCCAAAGGGACAAGCTCAATCCACTTTGGTTTATCATCTCCCTTAACTCACTGTCAACACTGCTTAACTCAGAACCGAGCGGCTATCGACTTAATATTTGAAGGGGACTCCGAGTCTCGCACTTAATGTTTATGAACGACATTAAAGTGTACGCCGAAAACCCAAAACAAAACAACAAAAACAACGAAAACTTTTAGCTGTGATGTTGGGATGTCGTTGTGTCTAGAGAAATGCAGTACAATACAAATCGTGAAGTAAGGTCGAGAGATGGAGGAAATTCAATCTTTGGACGAAGAAGCGGTCAATCGATCACACTGCCCTTAAAACGAATTTAAAGAAAAATATAGAAAGAGATTAACCAAACTGCTTGACACATTTTTAAACTCGGGGAACCAGACAACCGCTGTAAATACATGGGCAATACCGGTTCTTACATACTCCTTTGAAATCATCCTCCATGAGCTAGACAGATTGACTCGAAGGGCCATCACTAAGTTTAGAGCTCACCATCTCCGAGCAGCGGTCGAGAGAATCTATTTAAGCAGAAAAGAAGGTGGACGAGGCCTCATCGACATCTATAGCTATGGCGTGACCAAGGAGAACAAATGAGAATCTACTTCCAGGAATCAAACTTTCAACTTCTTAAAGCAATTGTCGCTCTAAATCTAAGAAACCATCCAGAAACTTAAAGGCAACCAGGGGTGAGTAGGACTGAATCATGGCAAGAGAAAGCATTGCACTTACTTGGTTCAAAAAGGCCAACTGTATAAAGAAACCGAAGTGGCCATCCAAGATCGTACTATAAAAACCAGATCATATGAAAAAAATTGTCTAAAGAAAAGCGTGGTGGACATATGCCGAAAGTGTGGTAAGCCTGGAGAAACAATTGAACATATCACGGCGGACTGCCCAGCGCTATCTAATACGGCATACCTTGGCCGCCACAACCAAGTTGCTAAAAATGTCAAAGCAAAAAAAATATGGTCTCCTCTATAACCCCCCGCCCTATTATCATTACTTACCAGAACCTGTACTGGAATTCAACACCCACCTACTCTATTGGTACCCGCCGATAACCACCGATAGAACTGTGGATTTCAACCGATTTGACATCGTGAATATTTATTATAGATACGGCGTGCCCACTTAGTGAAAACGTTTCTAAAACGGAGGTCGAAAAAATTATAATGTATGAGAACCTGACAAGAGAGATCAAAAATGTCTGGAAACTCAAAAAAGTAGAGATAGTCCCCATAATAATTTCATCAAACGGAGTCTTTATGATGCACCTAAAGAAAAATATCGATAAATAAAACTTACCAAAACGATCGTACGAAATTAGGCAAAAATAAGTAATTCTTGAGACATGCCATATAACGCGCAAGTTTCTGAATGGGGCAGAACTATGAAAAGAAAAAAAAAGGTTCCAGTGAAAAAGAATTAAATATCTCTCCACCAGAACAAGCCTAGCAAGAACATGAAGAAAACACCAAAGAAGTTATTGGATAGGTGAAAGTTCCAGCTTCAGTTGAGGAAAATAATAATAATAATGACAATCACTAATAATAATATCTTATTTTCAAAGACACCTCTACAGGCTACTGTAACACTGTTTACAAATCTTCTGGATTCCTCCAGCATCGGTTGTTGTTGAGTGCTGCTTTTAAGAATTATGTATTCAAGCACATTATTAGTAATGAATGTTAACAGTTTTAATGCATTTGCAAAAGTTGTTCACCCAAATATTTTATTTGGTAGAAGTAATTAATTATTGCTTTAAGCGTGGGCCAAAATGAAATTTTCCAAATGTCTCCCGGGCCGGAGGACTATACCGCGTATGCTTTGCACAAGCGGATGTTTTGGATGGAGTTTTTTCCTTGCCCATTTTTTTTTTATGACAAAAACACTAAGTATCATTTTAATATGAATAAAATATGTCACGTAATTTTTAAAGAAATATTATTATAAATAAATAGCTATTAGATAAACCAGTCAATGAAAGATTTTATTTTGTTACTTATTTATGTCTTAACGATACAAATTATTTTATATTGACACATAGTTATTACAATTTAACATTTATATTGCATTTCGTAAATATAATAGTAAATAGAATTCAAAAAAGAAAAGAAAAACATCAAACGTTAAAATAAATATTTAAAGTTAATGCGAAACGTGAAATCTCGAATGTTCATCTGACATTATTTCTTCAAAATTGGGTTCCAAATCACTTGTAGCAATCCTTAATACCGAGTGTAGATTTTCGTCAGTAATTTGTGATCGACACTTATTTTTCGTGGAAACCATTAAAGAAAAAGTTCTTTCACAAATATATGTCGAATCAAATAAAACAAGGTATTTTTGAACATAGTTCAAAAAATGTTTGAAATGTTCGTTATTCAAAGCGCCATAGAAAGCACTTAATTCGTTTGAGTGAAAATTTTCTTTTAGTAAATTATTTGATTGTAAGTCAATTAGTTCTAGTTGAATTTCAACAGGAGCTTCTTGCACATCGAAATTGAAAGGTTGGCTAATTAATGATAAAGGTTTTTCAATAGCTTTGAAATCTTGAAATCTTCTTTGGAATTCAGAATGCAGGTCTTGTGTTATTGCACTATATTTAAAAAAATCTGTATTTTTCAATGATTCTCGCCGTGCTTGCAATGAGGGGAAATGATTTAATAATTTATTATTAAAGTTTTCAGCAAATAAATTGAGTTTTGTCATAAATACTTTGACGTTTGAGTGCATATTCAAAGCAAATTGGTTTTTCCCTTGTAGATTTATATTTAGTTCATTCAAATATTTTACGATATCTACTGAAAACGAGAAATCGTTTAGCCAAGCCTTATTTTGCAATTCAGGAAAATCGTGTAGTTTTTCTTTTATCGACAAGAAGGATACTATTTCATCAAGCAAATATTGAAATCTGTCCAAAACTTTACCAATGCTACGCCATCTCACTTCAGTGTAATAAGGAATTTCGTAGAAGTCACTTTCAATATCTTTCAAAAATTCAACAAACTGTCGATGATTTACGGCACGTCCTCGGATAAAATTCACAACTTTGGTCACAACAGTAACGACGTGATTCAATTTCAAAACTTTTCTGCATAGCACTTCTTGATGAATAATGCAATGCAAAAATAATATATCTTGTTCTGGTTGTAACTCTTTTACTTACGAATTCGTTTAAGTAAGCCAACATTTTTCCCTGTTAAACTAGGACAACCATCCGTAGTGACGCTTACTATTTTATTCCAAGTTAAACTTACTTTAACTAAACACTCTTCAACAGCGAGAAAGAAGTCTTCACCAGTAGTTGTATCTTTCATTGGATGCACACTAAGAAGTTCCTCGCTAATTTCACATTTCTTGTTAATGCCGCGAATAAATATTAATAATTGACTTGTATCAGTAATATCGCAGCACTCATCTAAAGCCAGAGAACAATAGGTAAAATCGGCAATTTTTGTTCTTAGCTGGTCAAGTAAGTTTCCTGAAATATTTTCAATGCGTCGTACTATTGTTCTTCTCGAAAAGCTTACATTTTCAAAAATATGTTTCTTTTCAGGACAACATATCTCCAACACTTGTACCATGCATTGTTTAACAAATTCTGCTTCAGAAAACGGCTTACAGAACTTAGCAATTTCGTGTGCGACAACATAACTTGCTTTTGTGGTAGATTTCTCTATATTACTTTGTTTGGTTAAAATATTTTGTTGCTTATTCAAGTTTTTTGCTAAGTTTTCTGCTACAGTTTGAAGTTCTTTTAAAGAAAGTGATGCATATTTTGGATGTTTTGTTGTAAAGTGCTTGTTTAAATTGTATTCTTCGAACACAGCAATTGTTTCCTGACAAACTAAACAAATTGCTTTCTTATTAATATTTGTAAAAAGATATTTTACCCTCCAAGCTTCATTGAAGTTTCTGCATTCCAAATCAACTTTTCTTTTTGTAGATTGACCCATTTTACAAAGGTCTACAAATAAATAATTTAATTAATACAATAAAATAAAACCAATGTTTTAAAATTTTACTTACAAAAAGTCCACTTTTTCAATTTATATTTGCAAACTAATATTAGTCTCGAACAAAAAAGAGTATGCGACCAGTGCTAAATCAAAATTAACAATACGCGTGGTGCGACCTGTCGTCCCTCGAAAAGTGAGAGGAGTGCAGCATATGCCGTCCACACATGCATTTCGAACCTAGCGCGATCTCCTTTGTGTTCGACGAAAAAACAGTCCTGAGTCCTGAGTCCTGAGAGCGATCGTCGCGAGCGACCCGCACGAGAATCGCACGAGGATTGTTTCAAGCTCGCGACATCGTCCACACTAGTGTAGTCAGCCGACCGCCCATTTTATTACGCCTATTATATATACAGTACGCACACTAATAATGTTGATGTCAACAAAATCTCATAAAAGAGTTTAAAAAAATTTGCGTGCGGAATTTTTCAACGGGCCCGATAAAATTAGCAAAAGGGCCGGCTTTTGCCCACCCTTGCTTTATTGGATTTAAAACATTCACGCAGATAAGAAATTTATTGTGGGTTGTGGAAAATTGCAACCAGAGTAACCCTCCCAGCAAACAATACCAGATACTTTGAAGAAAAACCAAAAAACCTCGAACAAGCCAATTTCCACGATAACTTGCTATACCATACCATACTTATTCCACCTTAAAATCTGGACAATCCCAATTTGAGATTATTTTTGACAACATATTGTAAATTCAAAATACCTTCAAAGTCTCCGATAGGGACTCTTAAGAAGAAAAAGTCCACCCCTAATTTCCTGATTTTCGTCAGTGCATTTAACAAAACGCTGGGAGCCAAACTATGTTCCTGAAACAATTAAAATCCTTAAAAAAAAAGGTAGATTCAGTGAAACAAAACTACACCTTCAGAACATTTAGATAGGACAGCATTTTTTTTTACTTAGAATATTGGGGCAAGCTGGATAATAGCATGTAAATGAAATACGCATATGTCACACACAACGTTATCGCAGAAAGTGAACTTACTTGGTTGGCATTCTGGGTCAGTTGCCTCTGCTCCTGCAAAATGGCAATTTCCTTTTGCAAATCCTCTATATGCGACTCTAATTTTAATAATTTATTGTTATATTCGGTTTGCGTGGAACTGGATTCCTCTATGGTCTCTAAAAAGTTATGCGATATAAATTTCGGTATGTACTAACTTAATAATGTACCATGTACTAGTGTTTGCCAATTTGCTATCTCTTCTTCCGCTTTCCTTTTCTCTACAAAATTTGATTCGACTGTTATACGGTTCACCACTAATTGGCTTTTAACATCATCGAGTTCATTCTTAAGCTGTTTCACTTGTTCGCTAAGTGAAAAGTTTTCTTCACTTTTCCTATATACTACAACTATACTTAAAAGTGAAAATTATTTTTACCTTGGTGATTGATGAAACAAACTGACTCAATGAGTACGGCAGATCCTATTTAATTGAATCCAAGCAATTGGGGAAAACAACCGATTTGTTCAAAAAACATGGTTTAGGCTGCAGCAAATGTCAAAACATTTTATTGTAACCTATTTCATGTTACTCATTTAACTTATGGTATGTATAAGAGACCAGTTTCCATTGGTAAATGATTTAATTAATCAAGCAACAAAAGTCTTTCCACATTTTCAACTTTATAGGGAAAATTGTCCAAATACTCAATTAAACGCTGCTATATTTTATGCCGACAACTTTGAAATAGTTCAAACACTTATCGAAGATATAAACGATAAAAACTCTTGTTGCTAATTCAACAGTCAAAGAAAATTTGATATTTTTAAAAACAGTTTTTATAGGCAAATTCACTAATTTTGAAAAAGACACAAATTTCTTTTGGGAAGTTTTAAAAAACATGTAGTTGTCAATTTTTTTTATAACCATAACTGGTTTTGCGTCGTATTAATCGTGGTATATATTTTTTTAATCATCGCAAATAATTTTTTTATGCTTTGCAATTTGCAATTTGCTATGCAAGTATCAATGTGTGAACATATGAATGAAAAACTCTTATTATAATTTTTTTGTGTTTCATTTATTTATATTCAAGCAGGTCTGTGGTATAAGTAAAAAATTATAGGATTTCTGAAGAACGTTTGTTTATTTTATTTTTTTAATTTATTTCAGACCTCTAAACAGTTAACAATAAAACTGGCCCCGAGGCCTTACAAAAACAGTTACACAAAAAATATGTATAAAATTCTAGTAAAATTAAATATAATAGTTTGTTAATATAAGTTTATGTTGTAATTTTTCTTATAAAGTCTTTAAGGTTATGACACATTTACTTGGTAGTGCCCTTTAATACAGTCTGTGGTATTTTCTTAAACACTTGAATACTTCTGTATATTGACGAGTCTTGTTTCTTTTTGGTTCTTGCGTATACATTTCTTAACTTATTGTTTCTTGTGCTGTTGCTGTAACACTGTCCAGTTTTTTATGAATTATGTAAATTAATTTTGTTTGTTCTAGTATCTTAAGTGCACATATTTTTAAATAAGGTAGGTTTGCGTAGATTTCTTCAATACACATATTAAAGTTCATTCAGTATATTATTTAAAGTGCTTTATTTTGTAGCCTTTGTAATTTTGTATTTAGCTGTGCTATCCTGGTGTTTCCCCAGCATCTTGACAAGTATCTCAGGTGTGGTTCTACGAAGCTATTATAAAGCGGCTGTCTTGTTTTTTGGTTGAGTTGATGAGAACATCTTTTTATTGCACTTAGCATTGGTACAGTTTTGTCAATTACAGTCTCAATATATTTATCCCAAATTAGATTTTCAGAGATAGTTAGCCCTAAATATCTCTTTTGAGTATTAGGTTCCAAGGTGTTTTTGAGCGTTTAAGGAAAGTCTGTTATAGCACAGCCCCTCAAAATACTGCCGGAAATCTTTATTAACAAGTTCTTCAAGCTGTTCCGCACTACTACCAGAGTAAAGTAGTGCAGTGTCATCAGCAAATTTGAAGTACCTTGCTTTTAAGTTAACATGTTTTTGGCTTTGTACATACAGCAACTTATTAGTAAGTTTTACCATTTTTTGTCTAATGGTATTGATTAGTGCCTGCAGATCTTTTTTTGTCACGCCATCGATGCCTGGGGCACAAATATTTTTTAAGGAGTTAATCGTTTCCTTTATTTCTAGGACCGTTGTTGGTTCCAAAAATATGCTAGCCACAACTTCTTCTTCTGCAAAATTGGTATTGGAATGTTGCGCTATTTTGTTGGCTAAAGTTTCTCCAATTTTTGAAAAGTGTATATTTGATTATTGATTGTATTTGATGTATTCTTTGGTTTTCTGTTCGTTATTTCGTTTAAAATCTTCCAGATCTCCTTAGAGTTCTCTTTTGCTTCGTTAAACTTCTTTTCAGCGTATTGTTTCTGAAGCGTTGTTCTTAAGTTATTTAATTCATTGCTTGCTTTTTTATATTCGTTTTTAGAGTATTTGTTGTTAATTTTTGTTTCATCCAACGTATAGTTTGTCTTTTGTGCTTGTGTTTTATTTTCACTGTTTATATTTTCAAGTTTTCTTGCTAGTTGTTATTATTTCAGCTAGTTGCTGAAAAATTTTCGGTTCATTTTCGTTGCATTTTTCCTTGTACACTCTTGAGTAACTTCTCTTCATTTAGGTAACTTCTTTCTAATTTTTCCTTCTTTTTTATAATTATCGCTTCCTTCTACGTACATTACTTTGTGATCCGATATGCCGCTGTCCTCCAGTTTGATTGTGCATGTTATTATGTGATCTAGTATAGATGCTGTAGTGTTAGTTTGTCTAGTTGCATTTTGTAGCAGTATTATATTTTGGAATTTAAAAGCATTTATTTTTATTACAGCTTGTAATTGCTTCAATAGGTCTAAGTTAATATCTCCTACAATAATACATCAATTTTTTTGTTGTTTCAGTAGTTTGTCAAGTTCAATACCTATAACAGTAAGCTTCTGCATTGGTAGATAAAGCAGTTCAATGGATCTGCACTTTATGCTTATCGTTTTGCAGATAGTTTAGTTCCCCGTACACAACATCCAGCCTTTCTTTAATAATTTTAGGTGCTAACCCTTCTTTTGTCAAAAACTTTATGACTGCTCTATACTCAATTTGCGTTATTTGCGACATTTTTTTGTGCACATCTTGTTTAAAATACTGTCAATAAAAAACTATTTGACGCAAGACTTTAATTTTTTTTCGCAGCAGATATATATTTAAAAGACAAAGTTTTATCGTAATACTGGAGCTGCATCTATGTCAGGCCGGGAAATTTTGGCGCTAACCTCTTATGTTGGACAAGCTCGATTGTACCCGTTTCCGTGCAGCACCCTTCGCGGAAACCATGTTGTACACTGCGTTTTCTAATATTTTAGATGAACAACTTGCTATTGTTATAGGTCTATAATTATCTCTTAATGTGGAGTCCCCTTTTTTGCAGAGGGGAATTTGTGTGGTGGGTGGGCCTTACGTATTCCACCACACAGCGAATTTTAACAAAAGACTTGCATCTACACCCATATAAACTCCAAATAACTCAGGAGTTGAAACCTCGAGATCATCAACAGCGCCGCGTGTTTGCAGAATGGATACGAGAACAAGGGGTTCATTTTTCAACGAAAATCATCTTTAGCGATGAGGCAGATTTTCACGTTGGTGCCTTTGTAAACAAACACAATGCTCGTATTTGGGGATTAGAAAATCCAAGAGAGATTGTTCAAAAAGGAATGCATCCTCAAAAAGTGACTGTTTGGTGCGGAGGAATAATTGGCCCTCTTTTTTTCGAGGATAATGCGGAGAACGCTGTTACGGTTAATTGTGTTCGCTATCGAAACATGATATCTGATTTTTTCTGGGAGCAGTTGGAAGGTATGGAAGGTATGAAGATTTGTGGTCCTAACAGGATGGAGCCACTTGTCACACATCTAGAGAAACGATGCAATTGTTGCGGGGCAAGTTTCCTGGTCGGATTGTCTCACGTAACGGCGACATAAATTGGCCGCCGCGATCATGTGATCTTACTCCCCTAGATTTCTTTTTGGGGGTACCTAAAAAGCAGAGTGTATAGAAATAAACCAAACACTATTCCAGAGCTGAAACAGGAGATTACCATGTACACTCCCACTCCACTCCCTTCTCTAATATTTTCGATGAACAACTTGCTATTGTTATAGGCCTATAATTATCTCTTAATGTGGAGTCCACTTTTTTGAATACCGGAAATCACTTTCGAGTTTCTTAACGCTGAGGGAAATTTCCCAAACGAGATTAACTCATTAATGATTGTTCTTAAGTACGGGATTAGAATAACACAACATGCCTTTATAAGTCGTATAGGAATTTCGTCGATACCAGAAGATCTTTTGTTTTTCAGCCAATGAATTTTGTACTGTATAAAATACATGCTTTTCCCCGAGTAGGCGTAAAAGTGCCACTTTCTTTATTCGTGAACATGGAATCCACTTTTAATTGCGTGTGAGTAGCAAAAAATTTTCCGAATTCGTCTGCTATTACGTTATCATTGGTAAAAATAACATTGTTAATATTTAGTTTAATAATATTCCTATTTATTTTTTTACCTAATTTATTATTGACCAGTACCCACATCTTTTTAGATTTACTTTCTGAGAGATTTATCAAGTTTTGAGAAGAAAGCTTTTTTTCTTCAGCGACCTGTTTTTTTACTAGATTCTTAATATTTCATTTCATTATTAGAGGATTTTGGACTCCAATTTAGTTCTTTTAATATACACATATCATTTTCAAGTTTTTCAGAGAAAGGTATAGAAATTTTATATTAAGGGTTTTAGATTACCGAAAAAAAAAACTATCGCTTCCTCGCGATAATGTTAACGGCAATGAAAAATATTTCTTCGTAGACAAAACAAACAATAACATTTCCGTGATTAATTTTACTCTATTTTTTTCCAAAACTGTAATTAAATTACACAAATAAATCCTGGAAAACCATAATTATTATGTCCGACTCGCTATGTTCTTAAATTGTACGTATACATACGCTTTAGTTTATAATAGTTGAAATAAATTCTTAATTTGTTAGTACTTTCGACTAGATGAAAAGTCACTTAAATTAATGCCTTAATTAGTTTCTAATTGTTTCTAATTAGAGGTGGTAATGACGCACAGCACTGTGATATTAAGCCGACATGAAAACGGAAAAGCACTAATTTACTGTTGCTGAATCTTGCTTACGTCATATCTTTTTTAATAAAGTATCGTTCGCCAAAAACGTTTTCAAAATTCTCCCCTGCACACCATTGCATTAGCACACCAGCAGCTTTAGCACGAATAGCAGCAAAACAAATACCCGTGAAAGAACTACGTACAAGGCAATCTTTCCGCAAACGTAAGCCGCAACAACCGCTAGAGCCACTTGCAAGTAAAACTGAACCTCGAGTTTTTTATACTTTTTCCTCGCCTCCGGTAAACTCGACATGGGGTCTTTCAATAAATACACTCTGAATCCCCTAACGTATTGACTAAAGTATATGGACCAGTCGAGCGTTCTCATATCGAAATTGAACATCTCCTTGTCTCTAGAGGACATTCTCCTGAGTATCTTGTGGGTATTTTCCACGTTGAAATCGAACTCGTTTGTAGTGAAGAACTGATACGACTCTTGGAACTTGTGGAGCTTCTGGACCACCCGAACTAGGCTACGTAAAGGTCTCCTTGCAATTTGCAATGTAAACAGGATCCGGTACTTACAATGGCCTCTTCAGTTGGATTTTCATAAGGAGATCGACGAAATACGCGACCAGTGTGTGCAAAATAAATCTCCCTATTATATAATTGCACCAACATGTCGTACGAAAAGAGCACGGAAAGGCCGGCAGCAACACGGTTGGTATCTGCCTGAAGTTGTAATCGAACATGTCGTAGATCATGTCTGCAAGAACATTCGTTTACCAATAATGCTATAAACAAAAGAAACCAGGCAAACAAATTGATAAATATCTTCAAAATAACAAATGAAGTTCGCCATGATTCGCGATCACGTGACAATATTGATGTGAACTCGAATGTGTACTGTAACTGGTCCTCTCTCATTCTGGAAAAGTCACTAAAATTATTATTAGATATATAGTGAACGGCTAAAATATGGAACATCATTTTTTAAAATCCTTTGTCGTACCAAATTTGACTCATAATTCATGTAGTGAGAAAAAGAATAAAAAACAGGTTTTTAAATACCGGTAAAGTTCTTAATTGTTGTTACAACAAAGAATCGAAATCTTAATTTTTTATGAATATAAAGGCAAAATGAGACCCCAAGACATTTGTGATCCGTTTAAAGTCCAATGAAGAAAAATACAAGAAATCGTACAAGGAAAAAGCAAAAAGAGAAGACCGATCGGAAAGCAAGTCCTGCACTCAGGATCCACAGTGAGAATAATTTCTTAGAAGTTGAGGATAATTCCTACCGTGCGTGTATTAAAAGAAGAAAAGTAACGGGTGATTCAATAAGAGTTTCCATATTATAATCTGAAATATTTTTGAAACGCCACTGTATTTGTTTAATATCATATGAGATTTCTAACCTCAAAACATAAACGAAATTAGTCATGGAGCAATATACGACTGAACAACATGATTTTTTCTGGGAGCAGTTGGAAGGTATGGACATTGAAGATTTGTGGTTCCAACAGGATGGAGCCACTTGTCACACATCCAGAGAAACGATGAAATTGTTGCGGGGCAAGTTTCCTGGTCGGATTATCTCACGTAACGGCGATATCAATTGGCCGCCACGATCATGTGATCTTACTCCCCTAGATTTTTTCTTTTAGGTATCTAAAAAGCCGAGAGTATAGAAATAAACCAAACATTATTGCAGAACTGAAACCAGATTAGACGCGAAATAGCCGGCATAGAACCTGAATTGTATCAAAAAGTGATAGGAAATTTCAATAATCGGATTGCCACATGAGTCGCGGGGGTCATTTGAATAACATCATCTTTCATACCTAATTGTAATACACTAATCTAAAATAACAAATAAAAATATTTGTATATTTTTATATTCTTCCGAGTTTTTTTTATTATTTTTATGTGGAAACCCATATTGAATATTTAATCAGCCTTTATAATCCGTACAAGATGACGTTGTTACAGGCGCTGAACAAAGATGATTCCAATCTTAGAGTACAGTTTTGTGAAACTATGATAGAAATGTGCAACTTAAATCCGTCATCTGTTCAGTGATAAAGCTATATTGTGGTTAAATGCTGGGCTAAATAAACAAAATTGTATTCGCTAAAAAAAATCATACACAACAACCGCAAAATAGAATTAAATTAATGGACCACATTTCTTCCTACCCTCACAGTTTCTCTCCCAAATCCCAAATCAGTCTAATATACGATACATAAGTTTGGATTCAACAGAATTGTGCTCTATTATGCTCGACAAGTGCGGAATATTTAAGTACGGTGTTTCCTGGACAATGGATTGTTAGAATCACCTGCAAGATCTCCAGATATTCTGCAAAAGATTTTTTACTATGGGGATATTTAAAATCCAAAACCACAAAATTTAGGTTATCTAAAAGTTTTTGTTTTCAAATTTCTTTTGTTGTTGTAAAATAGTAAAGGTACTGTTTATAATCATGGCGGAATCAGTTGATTGCTTTGCAAAGACACTTCGAAAGAGTTCTAGAAAAGCAAGTTTTAATGGAAAAGATAAAATGAATTTATCAATTTTGTATTGAATGTTATATAATTTATGTTTCATGTATTTTAACAATTTTACAAACATGAAAACATGAGTGGCAATGACTCAGAATTTCAACTCGAACTTTTGATTTGCCTGTGACCTAATAATTGAACCAGCAGAATTTAATAAACTCGTCCCTAAGTAACTCTACACAGGGTAATATTGAAATGGAGGAACTAAGGTTGCGCATGGTCGCCAAATCTCCTACAAATGGCCTACAAGATTTCCAGATATTACTCTACTGGATTTTTTCCTCTGGAGATATTTAAAATCGAAGGTGTATAAAGAAAAACCATAAAGTTTAGATAATTTAATATTTTGATTTCAAAATATGAATTATGCGAATTAGAAAGTGCATTTACAAAAATTGCGATTACGACATCTACTTTTCAGTCCTTCCTGCATATTTTATGAGTGTATGAGCGTTTTCCTTGAAATCTAATATTTAATTCTTAAATGAATTTGTTTCCACATTTTAGCCGTTCAGATTTAAGAACAAAGTAACGTTTGTCCATGTGGACTACATGACCTGCCTGGTTTCCTTTCATATTGCGATTGGTCATTACCAAGCTACGTATTACGGACGAATCACCTTGAGATATAGGGTTGTTTTTGCCGCTACTGACATGAAATATCGATGTTTCCGATCGGTTTGCTATTTTAAAATGGCTTAAATTAACAACTAGTTAGTGAACTGATCAGAAGCGTTAAAATCGATGTCACCTTCCGATGTCCCAACCAGCAGCCACGCACTGGTTGACCACAAAATCAGCAGGTACAATATCCAGACTGGTGGCCTTGTAGTAGGCGATCCTACAAATTCCCAGGGCATAAACCATGGCGAAACCGGCTAGAGTAAATTCGTTGTCCACGAAACCTTGCAGCGGCTCGAACGCTGTCGAAACGACTATAAATAATTGTAAAAAGAAGTACACATCGGATAGCAATTTTGATATTAACGTAGTCCAATAGGGAACTTGTCCACTTTTTTTTATTTTTCTAAAATGCGTGTTTATATAATGAATATGAACCCTTAAATCGCATTACTTATTTCACGATAAATAATAAAAGTTGGATTTGTCGCCGGGCCTATTCAAACAAAGGTAAATGCACCGCAGCCGGTGTGACGTCACAAAGCAGGAAATTAAAGTATTTCTCGTTCATTTTTTATCAAATTTGTATCAGTTTTTAAGTGTTCAATGTTCAATTTTTGTGCTTATTTTGGACTAAATACTGCATTATTTCTTTTTTGTGAGAGTTCAACTCTGAAAAATCCAGTTCAAACCTTCATTAGAATACCGGAAGATAAAAAACAACGAATCAAATAACTAAAAAGACGTGGAAAGTGCCACAAACAAGTGTTTCTATAAAAATGGTTGTTTCATACAAGCATACCGACCTGTAATGTTTAGAGGCAAAGTAAAATTTTATAATGAAGATATCATTAAAAAACAAGAAACTAACCTTCTAATAAATATGACAATCCTTTTAGTGTAAAAATTAGTGAAAATCGTTTCAATGAAGATTATGGTGACAGTGACTTTTTGGTGTAACACTTAGGTAAGGTCGTAGTCATAGTGTAGTGAAGTGAGTAAGGAGCTTTCTGATTAAAAGAATAATATATTTAAAAGTACATATATACGACCTACAGTAATGAAGTTGCAAAATAGGCCTAGGTTTTACTTGGGATTACCTGATGATGGTTTTTATGTATGTATGTAAATCAAAACCAGAAGTACAATGTTTCTAAAATATTGTATAAAATAATAGTAATATTTAAATAATTCAGCTGATAAAAGCTGGAAAGTGAAGATAAATTTACTTAAATCATAAAGTTAAAGCTTTAAAATTAAATTAAATTTTTGTATAAACGCCATGAGTTAAATTTCAATTATCGAACTTTTTATATTAAATTAAATGTTAAATTAAATCTCCGTACCTATACACTCACCTTAAGAATGGCTTATATACTTATGGCTATTTATTCTTCAACTTTACAACAACAAATCCTCCGAATTTTTAATATATGATGCAGCCATGAATAATTTCACTTTGGGTAAATTGTGTGATGGTACTTTTATTAAACTCTCATCAACCATTTTCAGTCTTTAAATTAAAGAAAATCTTCTCTGATCATAACTAAATACTACGGTTCTATCAATGAGCACTGATCATTTTACGTGTTACTTCAATTTACGTCAAGATTGAAACACAACGGTCTGACGTCACAACCAAAGGCAAGAGCAGGTAAAATTATTCAAATTTTAAACCATTATTTTTCAGAAAATTGTGATTGGATTTTTTTCGTTTATTTGAACTTCCCTTATAATAGCTAGAATGAGTTACTCATTAACCAAAGCGAGTGTTATTAGTCAAAGACGAGATATTACCTATAGTCGGTCTCACTATGCAAATCGGCAAGTGGTGAGCTTTCCTGTGGAGCAGGTCTTCGGTGACTTGCTTAGTGAAGGTATAAGTGTTCGGCCAATTCTCGATGAGCCTACAAACCGACCCTCAAAATTGACGCATTTTGCCTTCCCGGCCTTACTTAGGGGTGATGACGTCTAAAGCTTCCGGGTCTAGAGCTTCGCAGACTTGAATCAGCTTCTCGGCACTTATTTTGGGTTCGTAAACTTCCTCCTCTATCTCTCGATAGTTTGAATTACAGAAGGCGGTACCGATGTATACGAAAGCCTAAAATTTTGCTTTGTACTGATCATTAATAGGTTCCGAACGACTCACCTTAAGCCTGTTAACCTCATTAGCTAGATCCATCAAATCTCTGGTGCCTCTGATGTTGGTGAACGTGGCCTGTTGGATATGCTGATCGAATCTAGTGGTCGCTGCGCAGTGGATGATTACGTCGACTTCGTCGATAAACGTTTTCTTGTCTTCCAAGCTGAGACCCAAGCCAGGATGCGAACAATCACCGACCAAGTGATACACTTTTTGCAGCCTGTCGGAATAAGATTTTTTCAATACATCGAAAACCTGCAATTTATTTACATGAGACATTTGATCATCCACAGTGTGATAACTTACAGGGGAGTTTAGTAGTTCCTCAACTCTCTTCACGGGCGGTACATTTTTCTTCGACCTTACCAGAATGTAAACCTTTTTAATCGGCAAGCTCCTGAGCACTTTTTCAAGGACTAGCTTGCCTATAAAGCCAGTGGCCCCGGTCAGGAAAAGGGTGGAGTGTTCATAAAACTTCTGAATGTCGGTCAAGTTCTCGAAGTCCATCGTTCCGGTCTACAAACTTAATTTGAACTGAATTTGATGTTAACCGATGAGGGCATAGAGCAAATACACGTCAAGGTCGTTTAAAAATTGAAATATCAAAATACGCACGATGCATTTCGATAATTTGTGCACCTATTAACTTGTTTTCATTTAATGTTGACGCGCGAAATCAAATAAAAAGTTGACCGAATCGAATATTACAATCCTGTGGTAGCAAATGATGTTGTACAGGGTTATTCATTATATTTTGACACCCACCTACGAGATTGATTTTGAAAGATTGAAAAAAAAGTGTAAATACAAAAGTTTGAAGATTTTTGCTCCATTATCTTGTTCAAATTTTAGAAAAGACGAACGACCATCGCAAGCTGTCAAAATGAATGCCCTAGCTTAAATCGTACATCTTTCTTTTCTGATTTGAAAAAAATATAGTTTATTGACATTTCATTTAGCCGTTTGTGAGATATTTCAGTTTAAAAATTATTATCATTCAATTTCTGGACAATAGCCATATTGTAAAAAGTTGTCAAGTCTGCCTTGATAGCATCCATATTATCTAAGTTTGCAATTTTTTTACCAATGTTCTGCTTTTGACAACTAATCAAAAACTAAAGATCTTCAGCGTAAGTTAAATAACTGAAAATATTTCAAATTGGTTATATTGAGGAAAAAAATGTCAAATAATAAAATTATTTTATTTAAATATTAAAAATATCAATACTTAATGCTAAACATTCGCCACATAACCTCCATTAATTTCTATACATCAGACAATATTTCCTTTCAATTTCCTATTAATACACGAGATGATAAAATCAATCTGTTTAGATCTTGTAAGGTCTTTCTCTTATCACTTTCAGGTCTATTTCAATAAATTTTATTTTTTAAATATCCCCACAAAAAAATGTCACAATGATTCAGTTCGGGGCTGTTGGCAGGCCATTTGATAGTTCATTGCCTACCTATCCGAAATCTATATTATTTAGATAATCAGTAACCGGTTGGACATCATGTAGAGGTATACCATCTTTATGCCAAATTAATTTTAAATAATTCCTTACTGGCACATTTTCTAACAACTGTTCTATTTCTGTTGCAAGGGAATTTAAATATCGTTGGCTATGTAAGGATCCTTCGTCCGTCCTTCGATTTTCACTGCTTGCATTTTGTGTGGATTATTGGTGGACCAAACATGTTTATTCTTCCTATTAAATACACCTGCTATTATGAACGAAGCCTCATCCGTAAATATTGTTTTGTCTAGTAGTCTTGTCAACATGTACCATTTTTTCTAAAATTTTTGTATAGTCTCCGAAAATCATGATCATGGTGTCATTCGATTCGGAAAATTATGTAGAGAGTTTAAGGAAAGGTTCCACAAGAAGCCGAAAAAAATTGCAAAAGTTATAAACAATTAAGTGAAAAAAAAAGGGTTTTGTTTTTTGATCTGAAAAGATCAGCAAATTTTCTAAAAAAATGTCCCGACTCCTGGAACTGTACCTTCAATATTTATAATTTTCATGAATTTTATTTATTATTATTCAATTTTATTCATTAATAATTATAAATCAACGACTAAAAGTGAAAGTTATTAAATCCTGATGACCAATAATAGATAATAATATTTAAAACGAAAAATGAACGAGAATAAATGTTTTGCAATTTTTTTTATAAATAATAGTTAACACTATAAATAATAGAGCTAGAGCGGTAATAAAAGGCTTAAATTGATAATTAATTAATAGTTAACAAAAAAGACCCAAAGTATTAATGTTGTATCTGCAATAGTTTCAAATTATTCATAATATTAATATTCATAATATAAAGTATTAAAAATAATCGCTCAAGAACGTATGAAAATGACAATCTTGAAGGCATAATAATATTAAATGTTATATAAAAAATAGAAATTTTTTTTTCATGACTGTTTTTATCTTACGATTGAGTATTGAAAAAATAAATGAAAAAAAATTATTTATAACAAATTGTTTATTAAATAAACAAATAAAAAATTAAGCAAAAAATTGTTTTTTGTATGAATCTAAAAGAGTGATGGAAATTATGATTTCTAGAGAAAAAAGCTTCCTTAATTTTTGAATTTACTTACGATTGTTAATTAACAAATGCATTTTTTAGCAACAAATAGTTTTTTTAAGGGATCATTTTTCTCTAAAGATCGTAATTGGTATCAATGAATAGATGAACAAAAAAATTTTCTGATTCGCTGATAAGCAATGTATTTGTTTATAACAATTTCTTAAACAATTGTATTAAAAAAATATTTTTATATACCGCTCAACCATCAGAAATCAAAACATTACAGACGTCAACAAAAAAATATTTTTTTATAAACTTTTTTTTATTTTTTAATTTTCGATTGTTAATAAAAAAAATTAAAAATCAAAATTTTTAAATTTTTACACTTGTGATCTACTTGTAATCCTAATACCAATAACTCCACGAAGTGAAAAAATTCCTAAGGCTTTTGTTAAATAATTATCGTGGTTTGATAACTTAACTTTGAATTTGAAAAAATTACTTAATGAACAAATCCATAATTTATGAACAAATTGGAAAAAAAACCTTTTTTTGTCCCGAGTTATTGTTAATTTGTGTATCCCAATGCTACGTTAATTATTTTATTCCTTAATGTTCATATTTAATATGTTTTTTCCAGGGCTCCATAAAAATTATAAATATTGGAGGTACAGTTCAAGGAGTCTGGACTTCTTTTTAGCAAATTTGCTGATCTTTTCAGATCTTCTTTAACATTTCGAAAATTTTCTTTTTTTTTTCGAGATACTCAAAAAAACAAAACCATTTTTTTTCACTTAATTCTTTATAACTTTTGCAATTTTTTTCAGCCCCTTTTGGAACCTTTCCTAAAACTTTCTGCATAATATATACAATACAACTACACAATACATACTATACAAAAATTTTAGCAAAAATGTTATATTCATCGGTTAAATTTTGCCCTGCAAGGAACTTATATGGGTGAAACTTGGGATATTTTGGCGTTCGTTGAATTTTACTACAGGACTTGCCGGATAATTTTTTACCGCCTAGTATATAATATTAATAATTTCTTAAAAAATATGAAATATAAAAATTAAGAAAGAAGAACTCAAAGTCGCGATGTCAAGTGTCTTAATAGCATAATAATTTACCTTGAAAGTGAAGTAATATTCATCAAAATTTCTTTCTATTTTCCTGGTCTTCCGTGTGACACAATTTCGGTCCTCAAATTGTTTAATTAAATTTTTGTTGAAGGAACTCTTCTACCCGGATATATTTGCAACACTATGTCCGTTTGAATAATATAATTGTATTATTTGGCGTTTTTCTTCATCAGTATAACCCATTTGAAATATCTTAAGTTATTAAAACAATTGCAAATATAGATAATATGGTTGCTATCAAGGCAGACTTGACCATTTTTAAACAATATGGCTATTGTCCAGAAATTGAATGAACTCATAAAGAACTGAATGAAATGTCAATAAACTAAATGTTTTTGAAATCAGGAAAACAAGATTTACTATCTAAGCTGATAATATGTAGCGCATTCCATTTAAAAAAATGGTGTTGCTGTCATTTTGATAGCTTGCGATAGTCGTTTGTTTCTCTGACATAAGATAATAGAGCAAAAATCTTCAAACTTTTGTATTTACACTATTTTTTCTATCTTCCAAAATTAACCCTGTAGGTGGGCGTCAAAACATAATGAATAACCCAGTAGAGAGGAAAAGTCACTTCGTTTTTTTTTCAAAATATTTTTAGTAAATATGCAGGATGTGTCCTCAAAAAGTTTGTGTTAATTTTTGGGCCGTAAATAAATAGCAAAGATAATAATTCCTTAATAATAAAAAACAGTTTTTATCAATTTAGTAATCCAGGGAAAAGATTGGAATATTTTTTATTTTTCCCACAGTTTTCTTTCACTATCGTTGGCGAACTGTCATAGTCTAAAATTAACTTTATTATTCTTTACATTCGTTGACAATGAAACAAAATAGTAAGGAAATTGATAGAGTACCGGCAAGTTAATTAGGTCGCTAAATAAAACTCTGTCAATTATAACACTGGTTGTATTTGATTATTAAGGAAAACGCAGAAAAATCACCATACAGTGATCGATCAAGAATTAACACGGAACTTACCATGCTAAGAGAGCAGAAACAACAATAGCAGAAAATATATTTGTGCAATGTTAAATTTTGTAATCTGATGCTATTAAAATAGGTTTTACATAACTAGTCATCAGTACACCCTCAAAAAATATCGCACCATACTAAAAATGTTAGGGAGTACCCTGAAGAGCGTGTATTTGCCCAATACGTAAGCAACGATCACCAAGAAAGCCGCGACCAAATAAAATTGTACCTCGAGTATTTTAAAGCGTCTCTTGCTCTTCGCCAAATTGGACATGGGATCCTTCAACAGATACACCCTGAACCCCCTGCCGTACTGAATGAAGTAGGTGTTCCAATCGAGCGTCGTCATATCGAAGTTAAACATTTCCCGATCCCGGTAAGACATCAACTTTAGCAGCTTGTCGGTGTTCTCCACATGGAAGTAGAACTCGTTGGTGTTGAAGAACTGGTACAGCTGGTGAAAGTTGTGAAGCTTTATGGCCTTCTCGACAAAGCTGAATTGGATTTCGGTCGGTCAATGCCAAGCTAAAACTTCACCGACGAAGTTCCGATACTTACAAAGGCTTCCTCCCTTTGATCCTCAAAATTGCATCAATGCAGTAAGATACGAGCGTATGAAATAGGAATCTACTAATCAGATAATTGTACCAGCAAGTGGTCCGGAATGTGCAAGGAAAAAACAACATCATCGACGGTGGTACTTCTCTAAAATAGTGGTCGCAGATATCGAAAACTTGATCTGCAAAAGCGTTTTGGCTAATATAGTACTACAGAACAGCAGATGATGCGTGTGCCAAATAAATCTACCCACTCTATGATCTGTTTCGTACAAAAGTTTCTTGGACTTGTTGATACAGGGTGTCCCAAAACTGTCCCTTCCGACATCAACTTTGATATTTTAAATGAAACGCCCTGCGTATATCGACATTTTTTGAATCCTTGGTTAAAATAAAAGTCGCTCTCTTAAGAAATTCCTATTCGAATTTGGCATACTTTAGACAGAAATTGAGGTTATATGTTTTTTTTCTTCATATTTTGGTTATATAAAATTGTGTTGTGACGCTACTGACTAATGTACCGGAATGAAAATTTAACCACAGACAGATGCGCCTCAATTTTATTCCGATATCATTTCTAGGATAAAAAATAATGTAAGTTTGTAATTTATCTTATATTTAAATTTTTGTTACTTTTTGAGATATTCGAGATTTATATATAAAATAATAAATAATAATAATAGGTCACTTGTTGGCAATATTAGGTGTTTTTTTAAATATCAACACCAACTTCTTTTAAACTCCAGATATACGAATAAAGAAAAGAAAAAGAAAGAATTCATATTTAAAGAAACATTTCATGGTTAATTATCTAGCTTGATCGAAAATACCAAAGAACAAAAATGTATAGGCTAACTAGCCAAATAAATCTATTAAAAAAAATGTTAACTAAAAAGTGTTCATTAATTCGGTCACAAAGTTTTGTTAAAAATGTTCTTCTTAAAATGCTCGTTTCATATGGCATCAAAACAATAAAGAAATATTTAAAAATGTAGTTGACTATGACATCACATTTTTTTTTTTGACGCATTAAGGTATAAACAAACTTTGACATTTCTGTTTGCTTTTGTTGTTTTTCATATTTCTATTTAAAAAGTTCATATTTATCAAGTTTCTTGTTAGTATATATAGTATATAGTTTTCTGGTTAACCTATAAACTTTAATTATTTATTTTTATTGTTAGGTATTTTCAAGCAAGCCAGATAATTAACTATTTAATGTTTCTTTAAATATTAATAAATAAATCTGTATTGTTAGCAATAATTTTTAATTGTATATCTGTATTAGTATCGTGTTGTAACTATACTTAATACTTAATATAGCCAACAAGTGACCCAATGTGGGCAGCTTTAAATTCAACAGGAATTTATACGGGTGTTATCTCAAACCTCGAATATCTCAAAAAGTAAGTAAAACTTGAATATAAGATAAATTACAAACTGACCCTGTTTTGTGTTCCAAAATTAATACCTGAATAAAAATGCTGAGATTTTTTAAATCTTCAGGATAGTCCAAGAAACTTTTTTTCGTATCCCCTATGGGTTTCCAGATCGTACAGTGAGTCATTTTATTCGGCAATACCGTGTAAGTATGGATATTGGGTTCTTCACCTTGAGATATAGGGTTGTCTCTACCGCTGCTGATATTAAACACGAGCGTTTTGCTGGGATTGGATGCTTTGAAACGGCTGAAATCAACAGGGTTTGGCTGGTGATACCATTCTGAAAATGTATTTACCTTCCGCATTGCCAACCAGCAGCCAGACATTGATTGACTACAAAATCTGCAGGAACGATGTCCAGTATAATATTTTTATAATAGACGATCCTGTTTATCCCTAATATTGCAAACAGGACAAATCCGGCTAGAGTGAATACGTTGTCCAAGTAACCTTTGACAGGTTCAAAGGCAGTCGACACCACTGATTTTCAAAAGGACAAGCGTTATACCAGGTGGCACAAGAAAGTGGGAACACTATTAAATGGCTTGAGGTAGCGATTTGACATTTGGAAGGGTTAATATAGGCTGAATATCCAATTTTTTGAAAATATGTAGTCAATGGTTGCGCTTCCGGTTTGAGCGGAGCAGATGATTCAAAGTAGGATAGGACGGTTTTTCTCTTCCTTTATTTTGGTTTTTTAAATTTTTATTTAATTTTTGAGAATTGTGTCTAAGAGGCTGTGACCATTATAAATACTATTTACCGGATTCCCTGATCATGGGAAAAATTGTAAATGAATCTTTTCTTTACTTGTCTAATGGCAAATAGCATTTAATGTAATGAACTATTAATTTTTTAGGATAACCTAGTTTTTTGAAATAGCACTCTAGTGAGAACAAAAACTTTTTCAAACCGGTAATTTTTTTGCCACCAGGTAAATTTGTTAAAAAAATAAGCTCACAGGAAGGAAAAAACCAGATAAGTATACATTTTTCTAAAAACAAAATACTGCATTCATTATTAAAGTCTTAAAAAAAAAAGCATTAAGAGAATAGATTTTTTTTTCTTTTCAAATCTGTCAATTTTTGGGGTAATTCAACAGAATATTTTAAAAATCTGTTAAAAAATAAAAACCCCAACAATGTCGGTAGAATCGATATGAAAGTGGTATATCAAGATGTGTTACTGTAACATCACAAAACATCACATCATGTCGATTATTTTGTGGATTTCTCATTTTCAATTCCGGCTTTCTAAAGAAAGAATGTGCAGGAAGGCGAGGTGTATTTACTTCTCTGGTTTTTCCCTTCCTGTGAGCTTATTTTTTCACGGATTTTGAAAATTTTGGTGTCAAAATGTACCAAAAAAAGTACCGGTTTGAAAAAGTTTTTGTTCCCACTGGGGTGCTATTTGAAAAAACTAGGTTATTCTAAAAAATTAATAGTTTATTACATTCATTTACAATTTTTCCCATGATCAGGTGACCCGCCAAATAGTATTTATGATGGTCACCGTCTCCTAGACACAATTTTCAAAAATGAAAGAAATAAAATAAAAAAAACAAAAAAAAGAGAAAAACCGCCCTATTCTACGTAGAATGATCTCCTGTATCCAAAAATGCAAAAAACATATAGGTTGTCACAAATATGTCATATTTTGTCACAAAATTGGACATTCAGTCTATATTAACCCTTCCAGATTTCAAATCGCTATCTCAAGCCGTTCAAAAGTTATAAAGTGTTTCCACTTTCTTGTGTCATCCCGTATACATTTTAAATTTTTTGGAAAATCTACGCCGCGATATATTTAATAAATGTAAGTCTCACATTCGAAGTGTATAGTAAGTTTCTTTTATCCTAGCTAATTTTGCAATTGGGTCCTTTGCTGCTAACAAATTTAGTGCAACTACTACTAAAAAATATATAAAAGAAAGGATAACCAATACCAATAGTGGGTCTCACTATGCAGAATGGTAGGTGTTGGCACTCCCTGTTGATTAGATCTTCGGTAATTTGTTTGGTGAAGGTGTAAATGTTGGGCCATCTTTCCCCTAGCCTGCAATTAGATCGGGCTGGGAATCGAGCACTGCCGATTATTCTCACCTACTTGGCGCCGATGACGCCCAAAACTACTGGGTCCAAGTTCTCGCAAACTTGGATCAGTTTCTCAGCACTGATCCTCGGTTCGTAAATCTTCTCGTCGATCTCTCGATTACAGCAGTTGGAGAAAGCCGTGCCGACGTACACAAAAGTCTGCAAATCAATCATGTACTGAGCGATTTGCCTTTAGTTTCTCACTAGCCTTTAAGTTTTTTATTTCATTGGCCAAGCGTATCAAATCTCTGGTCCCTCTGATGTTCGTGAACGTCGCCTGTTGAATATGTTGATCGAAACGAGTAGTCGCTGCGCAGTGGATGATTACATTGACTTCTGTCACAAAAGTTTTCCTATCTTCCGGGCTCAGACCCAACCCGAGATGTGAGCAATCGCCTACCAACAGATCCACCTTACTAACAGCTTCGGGATAAGTCTTCTTCAAGACATCGAACGCCTGAGATCACCCCGCGATCAATTGAAATTAGCCCGAATATCAAAATTACTTACTAGGGAATCGAATATCTCGCGGAGTCTCGTCGCTGGGGTCGCATTCTTCTTAGCCCTCACCAGAAGATAAACTTTTTTTACCGGAAGACTTCTGAGAACTTTTTCCAGGACCAGTTTTCCTATGAAGCCGGTACCTCCGGTGAGAAATACGGTGGAGTCCTGGTAAAATCTCTGAATTTCTGTCAGATTCGTAAAATGATCCATGATCCATCCAATGATGGTAAAATAATAATCGTACGCTTTTAGCAAATCTGATGCATTATATTAGGTGGCATGTGCATACTACCAATTCGGGTCAATTAAGAGGTCGCCCATAGGCGTAGGTAACATAAAATAAACTTATATATTGATACAGGTTGTTAAAAAATTTGCACAAAATTTTTATTTCTCAAAGAATCTTATTGTTGATGAAGCCAACTTTCTGACGTTTCGGCTTCCTCAGAGCTTAATTGCAACTGGTTTGCATTATACTCTGTACCATCTTATCTACTGTTTGAGGGAATCTGGCGATGGGAGGATGTCCTAAAACAGGGATTCCCATATTGCTGAAAAAAGACCTGAGCAACAATTTTCGCTAGCTCGAGTAAGATTTAATGTCCGATTTAATGATTATGTTCAGCCATTGTTGATGAGTTTATTTGTCCTAATGTTAAGGTTGTTTCATATGTCTTTAGCATTTTTGGAATTGTTTGTTCTGTCTGTTCAATGTATTCTATACATGGAATGCTGTTAACTCGTAGCATCTCAAACCAAATTCGATTTGAAACATTTTCAATCCTTGGAAAATCAAGTATGCCTCTAAAATCTCTAAAATCAATTGCTTTCTAAAATTTCTTTTCTACGAACTCCCTCAGATTCACAATCCAGGACTACCCCTCCGATCTACGGTTTTCTTCTAGCTTCTATATTAACACCCTTTTCAATGAAAACTGATAGTTTAGTATTTGAAACTTTTCACGTCATGGCAGAAAATCCATAGAAATCACTAAACAAGTAAACAATTCAAAATTTTAATATTTTTTAAATGATCTGTTTGAAAGAAAAAGATGTTCTTCTACAGAGAAATCCTGAAAAATGAACTGGTGGAAAGATAAAACTGCAGGAGGCGATAAAGGTCCGTATTTGTGTTATGCTCCGCTATCAGTCAATAAGTCAAACAAAGTATTCAAAACAAGACAGTAGCTTTTAGTAAAAACTCAGTGAAATACTCAAAATCTGTTGTTCCGGTCTAAAAACGTAATTTAAATGGAATTTGATATTAGCTAATGCGAACATACGTGTCATTTTTGGTGTCAATAGTCAAGGCGTTGCAAAAATTTACATATCAAAATGTATGCGATGCATTTAGATAGCTTATGCATCTAGTACATTGTTTTTAACGTAGCTCGTCCATCGATTTCAGTTTAAAGTGCGAATTTGATATTTGTATTGTCTTTTTTGATTTGAATATGCGAAAATGAAACTGTGCCAGCATTTGCTTATTAAAAGCTTCATTTAACTGTTTATTATTTTATTGAGAAATTAAATTTGAAAAGTGCTAACAATTCTGACTGCCAAACAACAATAATTAGACATAGCTATTAGATACATTGTGGTTTTAGCAGAAATGCAATTTTATCAGCTTCTAGCTATAGCAGAAATTGTTGAAAATCTGTTCAACAAACGAAGTGGAAGCCAGAAAAGCAAATAAGCCCTCTCTTATTTCAATATTCCTATTTCAAAAGTTGGTAAGCGACCACAGCATCTAGTTATGGTCCACGCCTTCCGAGTTTAGTGCTGACTTTCCTAATGGGTTAATGATGGGCACAGGAAATAAAAATAACTCACATATTCGGTAGACTTTTATTTTACAATATATTCGCTATACAGAAATACAAATGTACATATTGGACTCCAACTATTTTCAACATCAAAAATGTAATTAGTAAACCTAGAAAATAAGGAGAATTAGGGAAATTCATTCATACTTATATATATTGACTTGGTTTTCATATATCGATCGAGTGATAAAGCCAAACTGATAGTAAGTCCATATTAATGAAAAATCAAAACATGCTAATAAAAAGTGTTTCTAATAAATAATTCAACTATCACCCTCAGCACATCCTCAAATGGAACCCCATCAAACTAAAAATGGTGGGTATCACTCTGAAGAGAGCAATCTTGCCTAACACGTAAGCGACGATAACCAGCAGAGCTACAATCAAATAAAACTGCACCTCAAGTTTTTTGAAATGTCTCCTGCCTTCGGGCAAAGTTGACATAGGGTCTTTCAACAGATATACTCTGAATCCCTTGCTGTACTGGATAAAATAAGTGTGCCAATCCAGCGTTGTCATGTCGAAGTTGAATATCGCCCGGTCACTGTACGACATCCTCTTCAGCAACCTGTGCGTGTTTTCGACGTGAAAGTAGAACTCGTTGGTAGTGAAGAACTGATACATCTCTTGGAAGTGGTGCAGCTTTTTAACTTTCTCGACAAAGCTGTATTGAATTGCTTTCTATCAATGCCAAGCCAAAAATCGACTGAAGAAGTTACGATACTTACGAAGGCTTCCTCCCTTTTATCCTACTAATTATATCGATGCAGTACGCCACGAGCGTGTGAAATAGGAATCTGCTTAGCAGATAATTGTACCAGCAAGTGGTTCGGAATGTACAGGGAAAAACCGGTACCGTCGACGACGGTACCTGTCTAAGGTAGTACTCGCAGACATCGTAGACTCGATCTGTAAAAGCGACAAGTCTTAATTTGCTATGATAGAACTTATTATTTCACCTTGAGATATAGGGTTGTCTCTACCACTGCTGATGTTAAACACGAGTGCCTGGTTAGGATTGGATGCTGTGAAACGGCTGAAATCAACAACTTTTGACCAACGGCACCATTTTGACACTTTATGTACCTGCCGCATTGCCACCCGGCAGCCAGACATTGATTGACGACGAAATCTGCAGGGACGATGTCCAGTGTGATCTTATTATAGTAGATAATCCTGTTTATCCCTAAAGCGTTCAGCATCGCAAATCCCGCCAGCGTGAATACATTGTCCACGTAACCTTCCACAGGTTCGAATGCAGTGGACACCACTGAGGAAAAGATATATACTTGCCAATACCAGTTACATAGAGGGTTGAAGCTCGTACCTAGTCACAGCCAATGAACTTATACTTTTATACCTATAATTATCTTATTACATTAATAAAAAGAAATTATTATTGCTAGTTGCATGGAAATGTTTCGGTTAGCACCAAGTGTATCCGCGCACAAACAAAGTGTAAAAGCAGCAAAAGATTACCAATGGTAGGTCGCACTATGCAAAACGGCAAATGTTGACACTCCCTGTTGATTAGATCTTCGGTAATTTGTTTGGTGAAGGTGTAAGTATTCGGCCATCCTTCAACAAGTCTGCAATTTAAACCTGGTTGGGAATGGAACAATGGGATCGTTTATTCGAACTCACTTTGCTCCTATGACGTCCAAAATTGCAGGGTCCAGATTTTCGCACACTTCGATCAGTTTCTCAGCACTGATCCTCGGCTCGTAAATCTTCTCGTCTATCTCTCGATATTGGGAGTTGGAGAAAGCAGTGCCGATGTACACAAAAGTCTGCAAATCAATTTTGTACTGGGCACTCCAAATGTAATTTTTTACCCGCCTTTAAGTTTTTCACTTCCTTGGCTAAGCTTAACAAGTCTCTGGTTCCTCTGATGTTCGTGAACGTCGCCTGTTGAATATGTTGATCGAATCGAGTAGTCGCTGCGCAGTGGATGATTACGTTCATTTCTGTCACAAAGGTTTTCCTATCTTCCGGGCTCAGACCCAAGCCGAGATTTGAACAATCGCCTACCAATAGATACACCTTGTTGAGAACTTCGGGATAAGTTTTTTTCAAGATATCGAACGCCTAAAATCCAGGCGCCATTAATTGAAATTAGCCAGAATATTTTAATTACTTACTGGGGAATTGAATATCTCGCTGAGCCTCGTCGCAGGAGTGACATTCTTCTTAGCCCTAACCAGAAGGTAAACCTTCTTTACCGGTAGACTTCTGAGAACCTTTTCTAGAATTAGCTTTCCTATGAAGCCGGTGCCACCTGTGAGAAATACCGTGGAGTCCCGATAAAATCTTTGGATTTCCGTCAGGTTCTTAAAATGATCCATGTCCAAACGCTTTGGGACAGTTTCATCAATGCAAAAATACAAATCGCCAATTTTTAGCAAGTCAGTTGCATTTATTATTGGGATATGCACATACTACCGATGCAGGTCAATTTATGGGTCGTCCATAGGCGTAGGGATTATTTCATATCCTAATACAGTTTCTATACGTATTTCTTGTACTGCCGAATTTCAATATTCATGCCCCTCCTGTCTTAGCTAAGCTCTGCAAAAATCAACATGTGATTGGCGAAACATCACCAACTTTGATTTTTAAACATCCAATGCAGAAGGAATCCAGAAGATTTATTGTAATACTAGACAGTAGGCGGCAAAGCCGGTAAAACTGCACTTTAGCATATGTATATACAGAAGTCAAATATTAACACAGCGTTCACTGTCTATTTACAAAATTATCACCTCTATTCTGAAAGCTATTCACGGTAGGTACAGTTACAGTATCATCTGATAAACTGTTCCACTCATTTACAACACGGTCTGTTATAAATTTTTGGCGTCAAGTTTATGATAGTGTTTTAAGTTATTGTCATTCCGACGAAAAAAGTCAATATCACATGAGTAGTGGCCATGCAGGATTTTGTAGTATTCAATTAAAGCCTCTCTTCTTCTCCTTTCCTCTAAGGTGATTAGGAGAAGACATTTTAGTCCTTAAAGATGGTGGGATTTTTTTTGCTAGTTTCTGAACCCGTTCCAGAAGATCTACGTCCTTTTGGAAGTATGGAGACCACAGCACTATAGCATGTGGTCTGATGAAGCTTTTATAGGCTCGAAGAAAAGATTCTTGAGACATCTCCTTCAACGCACGTCGTATCATCTACATTAAGGTGTTGGCATGTTTTGCTACCTTTGTAACCTAGCTCTCCCATTTTAAGGTCTCAGATATTAAAACACCAAGGTCTGTCTATTCTCTCTCTCTCTTTAGTCCATTTCCCTAAGAAGAGCTTAGTGACTATGATGCTCTTGAAGCAGTGCTTATGGTATTGTGCCATTCCGTTTTGTTCTGAGCCCTGATTACGGTTTCATGAAGGCCATGGCCGATAAGATCCTTCTTGCAATATGCCAATGAATGTTAGAAAGCTTTGATTTATCGTCTTTGACAGATTTCGTTCAGTATTTAGTTCTTGTAGAACGGACTCATTTGTACAGTGGGCCGTCCAGGGTATCCGTAACAGCCGTCTGTACGCCCATATTTCAAAGGCATCTATCCGCCTTGCATCGCTCATCTTGATCGTCCAGGTTTCAGCTCCATAAGTGGCAATCGGGAACACAAGTGACTTCAACAATCTTAGTTTGCTGTTTTTAGTGATCGCTGTATCTCTCCAGCTCTTACTAAACTTAGTTACGGCTGTTCGAGCTAGTGCAATTCTTCGCTTTATTTCACCTTCATATGCATCGCTATTGTCAATTAAGGATCACAAGTACAGGTACTTATTCAGCACATTGAACCTAGCTATGTTTTTTAGGTGGGGTTGGGTTCTGGTTTTGCCGATCTACAATCATGACATTAGTTTGTTTGGATTTCATGGCGAGAGAACACATCCTTGTCTGACACCCTTCATCGCTTGAAACCTGTTTGATGTGACATCGTTGATTCTTATCAGACCGTAATTATGTTCATAGAGCTGTCGGATAAGTATTATTAAGTGGTCAGGGACCCCTAGTTCTTTGAGTATTTGCCACAGTTTTGTCCATTTTACCAAGTCGCAGGCTTTGGAGTAATCGACAAAACAGAGGTACATTGTTATGTTAAATTCTCTAGCTTTCTCAATTAGTTGTCGTACGTTTCCAATTTGTTCTCTCGTACCCTTACCCGGCATAAAGCCGGTCTGTTCTTCTGCAATCTGGGGTAGTAGATATGGTCTAAGTCTGTTATTAATGATCTGTAGGAGAATTTTGCATGCATGGGGTATTAATGCGGTAGTTATTGCAGTCTGCTTGGTTACCCTTTTTATACAGCGGCATATAAAGTGAGCCGCACCATTCGCCTGGCCGAACTCCTGTCTTCCAAACTCGATTACATATCGAATGAAAAACATCAACTACAGGCTGTCCTATTGACTTTAGTATCTCTGCAGCTATGCCATCTATGCCTGGACTTTTATTGTTTTTGAGGCTCTTTAAGGCGCGTTCAACCTCCGATTTAAGAATCCCGGGTTCGTGTTCAGTAAGTGTAGAAAGGTTTACGGTGTTAAAGGGTCCATCATCGTTCTAAAGTTTATTGCAGTATTTCTGCCAGACCTCAGCAATGCCTTCCGGATCGGTAGTCATTCTACCATTTTCGTCCACTATAATTTGTGTGCGAAGTTTAAACTCACGAGAGAGGTATTTTACTTTATTGAACAGTTCCCCAGATTCGTTCGTTGCGGAGTGCTTTTCTATTTCCATGCAGATTTTGTGAATGTGTGCGTTTTTATCCAGCCTGCAGCTGATTTTTATTTCTTTATTGATGTTTTTCAATTTTAACTCTTTATCAGATAATGTTGCTGGTAAGGCTTTTAAGTGTTTTCGTGATTCCAGCAAACTGACAGTATTATCAGATAACCAAGGTTTGGGTTTTATCTCCAACTTTCCAGGTGTACAACTTTTTTTGACTATTTCATTTATCCAAGCTCTAGTATCATTCCACATTTCTTGTGCATCATCTTTTTGTCTAGGCATTTCGACAGATCTCAGTGCTATCATTATTTTCTCAGTAGAGGGTATTGGACACCTTGTCTTCTTGTATAATTTCACTGCCCTTAGTTTGCGATGAAAGCTTGCCACTAAGAGTTTATGATCTGATCCACATTCCATGTCAGGTCTTGTTTTAACATTGGTAATAGAGGACCGCCATCTACAGCTTATTATCTATTCACTTACATAGTCAAATTTAGGATTATTATTACCTATACGTAGCGTTAAACATTTGTGTAAAATGAGACGCAGCACCCAGTCCCTTGTCCATCTTTTCAATTTAGCTACATCTTCAAATAGGTCCCCCATACTGTAAAGTTGTGTCTCCAAAATTCTTAGTATCTTCAGCATACATACTAACGCTGCACATCATGTGCTCAGCAAGGTTAGAGACATATAGTATAAATAACATGATCCCAGAGGCACTCCACTCAAAACCTCAACATCTGAAGAAAGGCGACCACTTATCTTCACTTGGACTGTTCTACATAAAAGGTAGTTGATCAAACCCAGCAGTTTACCTCTTATACCATAGTGTAAACAACTCTTGCCTGGAGGATTGTGTCAAAAGTTTTTTTTTTTTGTAAATAGTAAACTTGTAAATAGTATTGCAGTAGCCTGAAGAAGTTTCTTGAAAAAAAAAACACCTAAAACATCAGGCTGCAATACACACGCTGTATTTTTTATTTTTTTGCATTTATGGGTCAAGCTAAATAGTATTATTAATAATTTATAATTGAGTGAAATTCATCTGATAATTGTTTTCACAGAAGACAAGAAAGTTAGGCAAACCATGAACCTAACGTTCAGTCCATATACGTTCGTCAAAACAAAAATAAGGGCCACATACCCTTTTTTTTATATAAATAATTGATATGAAGATCAAGCCTCCATTTTAAAACAAAAAATATATGATTCACTAATTGTCCTAAATTTTTCTTACACCCTGACATGACAATCGCACCGCGCGCACCTGGTTCCGAAAATTGAACTACGTTATCCCTTTGTTGACGTACTGACACGTGTTGCAAGGATCCTAATTTACTTACCGGTAACCTAATTGTTTGATGTACGTACTTAAAGCAATAAACCTCCTGTCTGTTTCTTTATCTAGGGAACAGGCCTTCAAATAGAAATTATGTGCCAGAGATTTTCCATATTTCTCATAACAAATTTGAACTTGCAGCTTTTATCCTCTTATGGTGTCACGGTCAATTTTTCCCAGAATTTGGTGCAATTCTGAGTGACTACTGTTAAAAATATAATTTTGCGAAAATAAAATGATGCTTTTTTGACTCGCCATTAAATTTTTGGTCGTAATTGTAGCAAACTTGTATTTTATGGATCTTAGAGATTGTGTTCACCCACCAAAAGTTTCATGATTGCACATAACATTCATGACATTACCCAAAACAAGTGAGAAGAAAAAAGAAAACAGAAAATGATTGAAGGGAAAGACTAAATTAAAAGGAGTAAATAAAAAAAACGGACAACGAAGAGTCGTCAACAAACGAAGATATTTCAAATGACTATGGACTAGAAAAAGAGACCAAATATATAATGTTTTATTTATACATTGTTTCTCTTTACTAACACTAGTACAATAATTTGCTAAACGCAGAAAGATAAATAATAACAGCAAGCATAATACAAAACAAAGTAACAAAACTAGCCAAAACTACCATGCTAACTATATGACGGCAATTCAATTACTTTTAAACGATCCTGTGGAACATTAATGTTTATGTAATCAATCAACATAGAGCTTTTATATTTGACACTGTTGAGAATAAAGAAGATACGTAACTCAGCTTGAACCTTTCACAAGTTTCACAAGTCCAAGGCCAAAGGGCGCTTTTATTTACAAAGAAAACGAAAAAACACTCATGTTTATCAATCTAAGCAATTAAGAATCATGGACGATCTTATGCCAATCATATCATAATATAATAATAAAAATAAATATGTTTAACTTTTTTTTTGTAATTCAGTAAGGATAATTTGCTGATCATTTTATATATCAAAAGGATCTTTTAAAGGAAGTTGCGTTATGTTGAGGTGAAATAGCAAATGTTCTTTTCTTATATTAATACTATTTAGCTCTATAAACGATGCAAGCTTTATAGACAAGTAAGCTGATTGGTAATGACATTTTATTTGTACTACAATATTCGATCAAACGCTAGAAAATATCTTATATATATTTTCACGTATTGATTCACGGATGGAAAAATGTGATGACACTATATTCCGGGATATCATCCGTTCGCTTGTTGAACTCCGACTGGAATCCTGCAGACGTTTCGCCAAAATCTCACTTGGCATCTT